TAAATAATTGTATTTAGAGGGTAGCTTTGTTTTACCTTCTGTAATTATGCCATGCTAAGAATGTGACGCCCTGGTGTTGTTCGCATGCTTCGATGATTTACACCGTATGGTCTTTAGGCTATAGAATGATAAAGCTTTTTTGGCCATGATAAGGAATGCGTAAAATCCAACCAATACAATACAACATATTTATTTGATTGTATTGAAAACAACAACTTAATTATACTATCATGTGAAATTGGTAAAAAAAATCAAGAGAACATATTAACTCTCAGTGGGAATTCTCTACATCAAGAGAGAATTTTTAGAGAAATTTTTAAGAATATCCATTTAGAATTAACAGGTAACCTTTTATAAATTAAAAACTTTGACATGAATACATTGTATAAACACAAATCAGAGATGGGAATCGGTTTTCAATTAATTTACATATTCCAAGGTAAATTACAGAAAATACAGATCTGGGTATTCTTATTTGAAATGAATGTAGTTGTACTGGATATATTGAATTTAGTAGATTTCAGATTTAAAGGTCTCTGCGTATATCACCATGGTAGAAGGATATAGGTCGCTGCATCAACGCTTTGATATGTCAAAATTTTTAAAATGATTTGTCAAAAATAAGTAGATTTGTATATGTTTTCCTATACAACGCTAATCGGAGGTTGTTATGTTATGTACTTTTCAACAATTTTCACAAATTTTAATAATTTTTCATTTAACATTTTCAATTCCAAAATCGGTTTGACAGTTCATTGTCCCATCAACTGTGTTGATGCGACTACCTGTATTCTTCTACCATGGTATATCACAAATAATCAACATAGAGAAGTTTAATCTTGGTTAAGGTGTTTATGTAAACATGCCATAGAAATGCTCTTTTATTTGTGGAAAGCTTAAGGTGTGAGTACATAAGCAGCTTGAAGTCTTCGCTTGGCTTGTTTTATGACATATCCATGGTAGAAAAATATAGGTGCACGCATCGACGCAGCTGCTGGGACAATGAATTGTCAAACCGACTTTGAAATTAAAAATGTTGAATGAAAAATTGTTGATATTTGTGAAAATTGTTGAAACATGCATATCATAACAACCTACAATTTGCGTCGTATAAGAAAACGTATCAAAATCTACTTATTTTTGGAAAAATATTTTAACAATTTTGACATATCAATGCCATGGACTTATCATAAAGAGATGCCAGAGTCACACTCGAATCCTGCCGTCGTTTCCCCTTATAATTTGACATTAATATGCCTAGCCATGGTGCCAAACCGCTTATGAACACTGGTGGCCAAAACTAAAGCAATGCCCTGAAACTTTTTTTTAAAAAATTAAGAAAATGAGAAAGTTTTTCTATGTTTAAATTAGGCACTTTTTAAAAACTTAAAACAATAAAGCAAAATTCATTTTTATATAAAAAAGAATAATGTATGGTAAAGTCATTAACCTGATTTTATTTGGATAAAACAAAAGCAACTCTGTTGTACATTCATATGATCACTGCCATTTCAGTTGTTTTTTTTTTTACTGTTATATTTTTCGCTTTTTTGCTCCCTTCAAAAATTTCCCTTGTCATAAATCATTTTTGAGAAGTTTTTTACAACAGCACGTGTTTGTTTTAGTCATGGCTAGGAATATTAATGTCAAATTATAATGGAAAACGACGGCGAGATTTTAGTACGGCTCTGTAATTCCTTTATGAAATGTCACAAAATATGCCTAGCCATGACTTCAAGCTTCTTATGTACTTGAACCTTTAGTTTTTCAAGTTCTGCCCATGGTAAAATAAAGAAGGTAAGGTCATTTCGAATAAGCATTCCCATCTTTGCATTTTCTGTAATTTACCTTGTCAAAATTCACTGAATTAAAAACAGGTTCCCATCTCTGATTTCTGTGTATACAATGGATTTGCAAATATAAAGTTTGACAATGAGATGTTGTTAAATGAAAGAAACAAAAAATTGTAAACATATGATTGCATGACTTTACCTTCTTAACTCGACCATGGTACTGCCCAAAAAAGTTTAAAAATGGCTAAAAGCAAATACAGTACATGAATAAAACAGCAAAATATCAGTGACTATGAAAACCAGCTATCGCAGAAAATGATTTCCGAGAAATATTTCGCAAATATTTCTGTGATTTCATTTTATTCTGGGATGAGTCTACGTTTAATATTAAACGCCGGACATGGAACATTTTACGGAGAAGACCAAAAATTTAAACACTCAAGCCGCAGGGGGGGGGGGGGGTGTCAAAAATTGGTTGCGGGAGTCAAACATCGGAGGCCGGCACAATCACCTGACCTAAACCCCATGGAAAACCTTTGGAGTATCATAGACAAGCGAGATTCGGAAACAAATAAACGCAACATTTTCCAAAGAATTCAAGGCGCCTGGAAAGGAACACCCAAGGATCCAATTGAGCATTTTATAGATTCAATGCCTCGTATGTGTGCAGCTGCTATCAAAAATAATGGATGCCAACGACTACTAGCCAAAATATAATTATTTTAAAATAAAAAAATCAAAAATTTGCTTTAGTTTTGACCAAACAAAAATTGGGTCATTTTAGTTGTCCCTCCACCATACTATGGAGGTTATATTAACTTTGTCATTCCGTTTGTAACTCTTGGAAATACTCATGTCAGACCCAACAAAGTATATATATTCTTGATCAGCGTAAAATTCTAAGTTGATTTAGCGATGTCCGTATGTCTGTCTGTTGTAATTGCGCTATTTTTCGAACGAATTGAGATAGAAGGCTAAAATTTTGCACACATGTTTATTTTTCCAGTAGGCAGGTTAAGTTCGTAAATTGGCATGTAGGTACACGTTTTCATATAGCCCCCATATAACGGTACCTCCCGATATTCGGTATTTTGATGATTTTAGCGACATTATTCACCGGAATTGTTTCAAATATGGTATTTGAAATTCGAAATAAATACTACAGCCTAAGACTTAAAACTGTCTGTGCAGGTCCATGTCTTCGTATTGCTCCCATAAAACGGTACCTCCCTATATTCGGTATTTTAATGATTTTAGCGTCATTATTCACCGGAATTGTTTCAAATTACGTATTTAGAGTTCGTAATGGGAACTACAGTCTAAAATTGTCTATGCAGGTCCAGGTCGGTATTTTGACGAGTTTAGGTACAATCATGGTACAATAAAAAGGTAAGGTAGAGCTAACAGCTGATTACAATTTTTTTCTAAGTGTGCCCGACTTCTGCCAATTTTGTGTATGTATTAATTGTTTTGAAAAATGAAAAAAAAAAATATTTTGAAAACCAATGATTGGAAGACACATGAATTGCGGCTCGCGTATTAAAGCTATTAACCAGTATAGCCATGAAATTGAAAGATTGAACAGTTAGGATCATATTTTTGAAAGAAAACCCGTGACATTTTATTTATTTTTCGGGGTATTTAAATCATTTTAAAATTGAGAAAAAATATGAAAAAAATGAAAACAATGTATTTTTGTAGTTTTACGAAGCTGTTCTACCTCCTTATTGTACCATGGGTACAATACCCACTGAAATTGTTTGAGTTATTGTATTTGAAGTTCGAAATGGATACTACAGCCTAAGACAGAAAATTGTCTGTGCAAGTCCACGTCTTCGTATAGCCCCCATATAACGGTACCTCCCGATATTCGGTATTTTAATGATTTTAGCGTCATTATTCACCGGAATTGTTTTAAATTACGTATTTAGAGTTCGTAATGGGAACTACAGTCTGTGACAGAAAATTGTCTGTGCAGGTCCAGGTCTTCGTATAGGCCCCATACATCAGTACCTCCCTATATTCGGTATTTTGACGAGTTTAGGCACAATACCCACCGAAATTGTTTCAGATGTTGTTTCGTAGATGAACAAAGGAGTTTTAGGTTCACCTAGTTCGATTTTGGCCCTAGGCTCCTTTGTTCATTTCCGAAGAAGCCAGCCGATGACTTATGCCCGCCAAATAAGCGCTTTATGTATTCCCAGCTTAACGGCTATATTCGATATTTTTAAAATTTTAACAGAATTTTTTAAGGATTTTATTTTTTGAAAATTTCCAAATTCGTTCCAAATGGTGGAGTGTATTCAAAGTTCTGCCCGGCCGAACTTACTGCTTTTTAATATGTTTTTCATTCAAAATTATTTTCGTATTTTTATTTTTAGCCAAAATTTAATTATTTTAAAATAACACATCAAAAAGTTGTTTTAGTTTTGACCAAACAAAAATTGGGTCATTATAGTTTTTCATATATTATTTCTGATTCAAAATTATTTTTGTATTATTATTTTTATTTTTTTTAAGAAAAACATTTAAAACTGGAAAAATAATTACGATTTGTTTATTTTTGTAAAAGTTACAGGGCATTTATTGTCTTTGCGATTTTAGTTATTTTAGTCTTAGCCACCATTGTATGTACCCTCACCTTTATATACGTTTTTGGAAAAACCTTTAGATCATCTCCTGCCCATAGAAGGACTATCTGATATCTTCTACAGAAGAATATAGAAAAACCCTGTGAAAAGTCTTATCTTTATAGAAGACCTTTAGAAGGTTCTTCTTTTATTTTCTCTTTCTTATCATTTCACATGACTACAAAAGAACAACAACAACATTTAAATGAAACGTGAATTGCACAATTTGTTTATCGGAATATCCAAAAAAAATGTATTGATTGATATCAACAATAGAAATAATATCAAACCAATTCTATTCAAGATAAGCATTTCAACCACCAGCGATTTTTAAATTAACCTCTGAATGAATCATGGTGAAAAAAGGTTAGGAATTGGAAAGTATTTTAAATAAAAAGACACAAAACATGGCTATTCCCTCAATTTGCTTCGGTTAGCAAAGCTAATAATTGACATTTGTCATAAAATTGGGCATAATCAAATTTCACACCCACCTCGGAACCTTGTATAACGACCCTGTACTCAAAACTTTTCTACGACTCTGCAAATAATTATTTATTTAGCAATTTTTACTCACTTTAGGCAATTTTCTTTTGTTTTCTCCATGGCGTTAATATCACTGCCGGCTCTCTCCAGTATGTTGTTGACATAGACCTTATCTACCTGAGATTTACATTCCATACAACTGTCAAAAAAAGAAAAAATAAATAAATAAATAAATAAATAAACAACAATAAAATATCAATCATATCGTTCGTCCCTCCCCCCAACTTACGTCCACTCCTTGTGCCAATCGTTGAGACTGGCCGGCAACATCAAACCCCTGCAGCTATCCTTTTCACATTTGAGGGCACAATAATTGGTGCCATATTCGGTGACATCGAGACACCTTGGACATTGACACTTAAAGATTTTCGTTTGCATCAAATGACGTTGACGATCGCCGGTACTCCACACAGCATCGGAGTAACAAATGCTGAGATGACTACCCTTTTTAATCTCTTTGGGAGCCCAGAGAATTAGATTGCCATCTTTGTTGAAACTCTTTGCCAAATTGGGTGTACATGAATGTTCCAAGAATGAGGCCTTGTAGAACAGAGCAACATGAGGTGGATCAGAGGTGGGCACTTCGTGACCGTTGATTTGTAAAATGCCAATAATCCGCATTATTTCATCTTCACTAAAGAGTTTGGTGTTGAAGAATCTGAAAGATGAGAACATTTAAGGTATTATTTTAATTTTTTTTATAAACTCCAGTCTAGCCTGTTTTTACTCTCCACCATTCGGCAAATATTGAAAAATGAGCTCGGAGTAAAGCCATTGAATTTTCAGAAAGTGTAAGAACTTTCACTGCAACTGAAAGAAAATAGACTCTAGAGGTCGTGTAGGAAACCCGCGTCGCAGTGGCCGAAAAATGGCTCATGAGATGAACATATCGCACTATTCCATTCGGCAAACAATGAAAAATGAGCTCGGGGTAAAGCCATTGAAATGCCAAAAAGTGCAAGAACTTACACCGCACCGGAAAGAAAATAGACTCAAAAGAGCTAAAAAGTTGCTTCGCTTGGCCGAAAGTGGTGAACTGCCAAATTTGGTTTTCTCCGATGAGGAAACATTCGTTATCCAGCAGTTTGTAAACAAACAAAATGATCGCGTTTACTCGCCAAAGAGTGTACCTGCAACTCAAGCGCCGGCCATGGTGATTGAGTGGGCCGCCATAACTGCTGATGGTCGCTCTCCAGTTGCGGTTGCTAATAGCAGTATTAATCTTGACAAACCGTGGCATCAGAATAAATGCCGAATATTATTGCGAAAATATTCTGGAGGGTGTATTAAAGCCTTGGGCACGCACACATTTTGGTCGCAAACCTTGGACATTCAAACAGGACTCAGCATCATCGCACTCTTGTAGAAACATGTACATATACTCAGTGGACCATTTACATGAGGAGGCGAAAGTTCTTCCCTTACATCAGCATAATCATATGCTTTCGTTGCAGTACCTGCTTGGGTGTTACCGTGAGAGTCATCCCAACCATCATATGGTGGATAAATCTCCCCCACCCAGGCGAATCAGGAAAGTCATACATGACCGCTACAAGAGAGAACCTCTAGATCAAGAAGCCCAACAGGCAGGTCTCAGTGGCATTCGTACCGATGCAGTTGCGGATGCTATTAGCAATTATAAAATTAATACCGGTCTCGGAGTCCACCCCCGTCCATTGCAGCTGAAGAACGTCAGCTGCCTTGACAACCAGGGTAGGTTTGGTGCAATTACATTCAGGATGGTGTAGTCGTCCCAATTCGTATTGGGCACGAATTGATGAAGATGTGCGTGACGCCTGCTCGGCGTGTGATACACTCCCGCCACAATACGCTGCACCTCTTTAATTGCACAGCCAAACCTACCTAACTCACTCTAGAATATCTCTGGCTACAGCCAATTAAATTAGACGAATTTCTAAACCTGGAGCTGGAACCAGATTAGCAGAACGCAAATACTTGCATGTGCTCCAGCTGCAACAACAACATCAATCGCACTCAGTACGCGCCCACCCAGAATTGTTACAAAATGAGGTTCCTTGCTTCATTTCCAGCGCACAATGGCCACCAAAATCTCCGGATACCAATCCGTTGGCCTATTGTATCTGGAGTATTTTGAAAAGAAAGGTTGGCACTAAAATCTACTAAAGTGTCGATCACCTCAAGCAAGCGCTTCTCCGGCAATGGGCGAAAATACCGCAGAGCAACATTCGAGCAGCGTGTGGCGGTTTCATTGGCCGTTTGGAGGCCATAATTCGTGCCAAAGATGACCAATTCGAACAAATCTAAACTTATTCTAAAATTTGATGCTATTTCCGATATTTTTTGCTTTCGTTCAATAAAATTTAAAAATAAAATGAAAAAATTATGGCGTTTGACTTTGTGGCAGTTTTTTATCCCATCCTGTATTATTTTTATATGTCGAAAAAATCGGATTAAGAAATCAATCCTGATAATGTGGGTAAATCCGAATAAAATGTTGTATCTAAACGTGCTATAAGATTTTTTATATGAGTCCAAAATAACGTTTTGTTTTATTTTAAGGAATATAATATCAACAGAGCCTTTGTTTGTTACTCTCCAGAGTAACAGTATGATATTCTCCTCTCCGTGTAATGTTTGCTCATTACATCTAACCGGTCTCTTGAATTTTCACACTCAACTTATCAAATTAAATATTAGGCCTGTTCGTTTATTTCCCTCAATAACATTTACTCAGTAACAAGTTGCTGAGAGTAAATACGAATTTATAACTCTCACGAGAAAATATTGCAAAAAGTAAACAAACTGCTTCTTGTCAAATATTTGCAAAGATATCAGCTGTTCAAAAATAACAACAAAGCAATGAGGACATATATTTTTAATTTCACACCAAATTGAATTAATTTTTTTAATTTAATTTTAATTTTTCCTATCCGTATTGTTTTCATTTTTTTTTTGTCCAAAAAAAAAAATTGTCTGATTATTGAACCACCAATTTTCCAGGAAGAATTTACGAAATCTTAATAACGTAAATATCAAATTTTTTCTCTCAATTCGCTCTCATTTCCTGGACTTTTGATTAAACGAAAAACATCCCATAGCAATTTCTACAAATTTACTCAACGAACACCCCTAATGTCATTATTGTCAAAATTAACCTCTCACACGTTTTTTACCTCAAATTTGAAAATTCATACTCACTTCAATATAAATTTGCATACACTCTCATAATCCGCCTTCCATTGCATCGATCCCCGGCGTTGATCCTCCAATGATTCCAATTCATTGATTTTCTTCCATCTCTCCATATCCTTGTCACGCAACATCAGGCAACGTGCCGTACTCAGGCACTGATACAGCGGATGGGGATTGGTGAATTCTTGGACATTGGCCGGTTTACCTCTTGCCGCGGTTAATTCACATTCATAGATGTGTTCGGCTTTATAGACACACTCATCGCCACACAGCGGCCAGCCACATTTTTCACAATTTTTATAGTCCTGAGGATCGATGGCATTCAGACAACCCAAACAAACGGGGGCAGTTAGTTGAGAGGGGCCACGAAACAGGGGAGTTTCTTTCAAAACGATTTCAAAGGGTTTAATGGTGCGAGTGGCCACCAAATGTCTACCCAATTCATTGTTAACTGCAATCTATAGAAAGCAAGGCGAAGAAAATCAATTATTTAATAAGTTGTTATTGTTGTTATTCTTTTCCCACCTTAAATGGATGACAATTCTTCTTGTGCTCCTTCCAATCTTTCTTTTGATGTTCGGCACTGCAATAAAACACTTGTTTGCAATTCGAACAACTATTTTTTGTTTCAGTTTGACAAATATGACATGGATTCATGGCGGAAATTTATAATTAAATTTCAATATCAGGTTTTTTTCTTATAAACAATTTAATATTATTCTTTCCAAAAATTTGCTTATTTAATAAAACGTCTTGTGTGTAAAAAATCTATTGAAAAACTAAAAGAAGAAAATTTTGAATTGCTCCACATGATGGTCGTTATAAATAGATTTTCCCCCTCTCACTGGGGTGTGAGAATGGCACTCTTTGAGAATAAAAGATGCCGTTGCGTTGGGGTGAGTGTGTATGCGTGTGTGTGTCGATGTACTCAAGATGTTGTTTTGTGTTTGTTTTTGTCTATTCATCGATATGGAGATCAAAATGCTGCATGCCTAATACGAGGGGAAGTTATAAGTTTTCGTAAAAATAAAAAAAATAATTAGGAAAATTCGTTGAGACAATAAAGCATTTAATTATTGCTGAAATGAAGTGAATAATTTATAGATTTATACTTGTAATTAAGGCAAATGTCTTGTGGAGCTGTCTTTTGAAAATCTTATGAAAATTATGTCTAAGGTGAGGAAAGAAAATAAGCTGTATGAAACAGCGGTAACTTTGCCATTTCCTGTTGTTGCCTTGGTTTTGGTGGAGAAAAATCTTCACATACTTTTAGGCGCCCTTTTTGATTCCACTTGCCAATTTAACAAAACAAGATATATTGAGTAGGTAGCAAAGCATATTTATTTATAAGGTATATGCAAGAAATACAACATATAACAATTTGGCAATATAGATCTTAAGGTGGGAATACATAAAGTGCTTATCTGGCTGGCTTAAGTCGGCTGGCTGGCTTCTTCGGAAATGAACAAAGGAGCCTAGGGCCAAAGTCGAAATAAGTCCACCTAAATGTCCTTTGTTCATCTACGAAGAAGCCAGCTGATGACTTAAGCCAGCCAAATATGCTCCTTATGTATTTCTGGGTATTATATGCTAGTTATACCCTCCAATTTGAAAAGCAGGGTATATTAACTTTCTCGTTCCGTATGTAACATCCTATAAAGTATATATATACATGATCAGCATAGAATTCTAAGTCTATTTGACGTTGCCCGTCGGTCTTTCTGTTAAAATCACGATACAGCCCACATTATTTGACGTTGAGCTTCAAAATTTGGCACAAAAATTTGTATTGTGTCTAGGATGGTTGGTACTGAAAATGAAATATATCGGTCCACATTCTGGTATAGCCCCCATATTTTAATACCTCCCGATATTCGATATTTGGATGGTTTTAGCCACACTTTTCCACGGATTTGTCTAAAAATTGGTCATTTTAGGTCAAAATGGGTTCTAGCTGAACATTTTGTGTAAAGGTCCACGTTTTTTGTATAGCCTCCATATAACAGAACATCCGATTTTCGGTATTTTGATGGTTTTAGCCCCACTTTTCCACGGATTTGTCTCAAAATTGGTATTTGTGGGTCGAAATGGGTTCTAGCTCCGGTGGCGAAACATTGTATTTATAGGTGCACGTTTTTGTATAGCCCTCATATAATGGTACCTCCCGATATTCAGTATTTTAATGAATTTTGGTCACATTTTCCCACGGATTTCTATAAAAATAGGTATTTGTAGTTCTTAATGGGTTATAACTCGTGTGACGAATCATTGTATGTATAGATCCACGTTTTCATATAGCCCCCATTTTTCGGTACCTCTCGATATTCGGTATTTTAATTGTTTTTGTCACATTTTTTCACGAATTTGTCCAAAAATTGGTATTTGTAAGTCATAATGGGTTCTAGCTCCGGTGGCGGAACATTTTATGTATAGGTCCACGTTTTGGTATAGCCCCCATAAAATCGTACCTCTCGATATTCGTTATTTGGATGGTTTTAGCCACACTTTTTCACGGATTTGTCTAAAAATTGGTCATTTTAGGTCAAAATGGGTTCTAGCTGAACATTTTATGTAAAGGTCCACGTTTTTTGTATAGCCTCCATATAACAGAACCTCCGATTTTCGGTATTTTGATGGTTTCAGCCCCACTTTTCCACGGATTTGTCTACAAATTGGTATTTGTAGGTTAAAATGTGTTCTAGCTCTGGTGGCGGAACATTGTATGTATAGGTCCACGTTTTCGAATAGCCCCCATATAACGATACCTTCCGATATTTGGTATTTTAATGAATTTTGTTCACATTTTCCCACGGATTTCTATAAAAATAGGTATTTGTAGTTCTTAATGGGTTCTAACTCGTGTGACAAAGCATTGTATGTATAGATCCACGTTTTCATATAGCCCCCATTTTTCGGTACCTCTCGATATTCGGTATTTTAATGATTTTAGCCACACTTTTCCACGGATTTATCTAAATATTGGTATTTGTAAGTCATAATGGTTTCTAACTCCGGTGGTGGAACATTTCATGTATAGGTCCACGTTTTCTTATAGCCTCCATATAACCGTACCTCCCGATATTCGGTATTTTGATGATTTTAGCCACATTTTCCCACGGATTTGTCTAAAATTTGGTATTTGTAAATCATAATGGGTTCTAGCTCCGGTGGTGGAACATTGGATATGTAGGTCCATGTTTTCCTATAGCGCGCATATAACTGTACCCACTGGTATTCCGAAATATTTTTATAATAGTAGTACCATTTACCCACGAAATTGTTTCAAATTTGTTATTTAAGACTCGTAAATGTAACTTTTTTGTCAGTCGATGTGCAAAAGTTTAGTCAGCCAGTAAACACAGTTTAGGTGTCAAAAACATAATTGCGATTTGAAATTCGAAGGGAGTCAAAACGCAATAGGACAAAAACCACTAGGTTTATTGTCAAAATGGATGTCAAAAGAAGTCTCCTTGGCTGACCTTATTTAGGCATTGATTGGGTCTTTTATAGGTTGCCTTGTCGACTTTCTCAAAGTCGCTTTCTGATCATATTTTTTATGCAGACGTCCTTCAAGACTTCTTCAATGAATATAACCCTAACTATAGGTATTTTTAGAACACCTGTTATAAGTCTGATATGCATAAAATACCCTCTGTAAGTCACCAGAATACATTCTTTGAGTTATTGAGAATATATAGAAGATCTATTATTCTGTCACTTATATATAGATAACCTTCTATAGGTGTTCTATGAATGTTCTTCAGTACGTCTTTTATATGTCTTATTGATAGAAAACCTCAAGATCTTTTTGAGATATTCTACACAGATGTAGAAGTACTCTATAATAGATGACCTTCAATTTCGTTTATAACCCTACTGTAAATAAAATATAAAGGTCTTCAATTAATTTTATACCCCTTCTGTAAAAAAATGCAAGTTTTCTGAGCTTGGAAGCCTGCTAAAAATAAAATACACAAGCATTTTCAAACTTTTGAAGCCTCTACCCGGACTAACTCATAAAACAGAGTTTGTTTATTTTCGATTTTATTCCATGCACACAAACAAGAAAATATAATAATCATAAAAAATAATAATAATTTATATTATGACCTAACATACACACAAAGAAAAAAAAATAAACAAATGTAAATACATTGTAGCAGTGTATATAGTTTACATAAATTATAATTGGCTTTAAATTATTTTTGATTTCGTTGTCGGACAACGAATAATAATTCATTACAAATGTATTACAGGGTAGGAGAGAATTATAACAAAAGAAAAACACAATTTTTTCTTTAAGTAAGTATATATATATTAAGTTTAATTAATTGTCTAAAAAAATTGCCAACGGTTCTTGAATGTTCTCCGGAGATCACTTTCATTGGAATTATTAGCAGCAGTTTGATTGTTTTCATCTGACAAAGACTGAAAATTCTTAAGCACTGCGGTATTTTCCCTTTTGCACCTTTCGCCATGATTTGATGGTTTTAGATCACCAATATCATAGGGATTTGAATTCTCGGCCGTAGATGTTGAAGATTTGCAATGCCTTTGTTGATTTTTGTCATTGCGTAGCAAATGTTTTTTTATGTTTGGAAACTGCTGCTTTTTGGGATTTTTTATTTTTCTTGTTATAGTTGAGTTTATCTTGATCTGTTTGCAAGTCATTAACATTATTGTTAGGGGAATGTACTTCTGCATCTTTGGGGATATAATTTCCTAAAATAAATGAAAAACAATTATTAAACCTTTAATCGACGCTGGAAAAACAGGAAAACTTACCTTGAACTCCAAATAGATATTTATTTTCCTTTTGTTTTATTTTCTGGGATATATTTGAATTTTTACTATTTAACTTTTTGTTATGGTTTGTTCTCTTCTTGGCTCTATGGTTTAATTTTTCATTATTGACATTGGCTGATCCAGGCTGAGGCTGATCTTCATCAACATCACCATCATCATTATCTTGATGATGAATATCCTCATCTTCTGTTTCTTCTTGTTCATTGATTATATTCTCCTTATTATAAGAATGTATTGACGTTTCATGAACGGGATAATTGTACCCATGACCACCACCCATATTACTTTCAGTATCCGAAATATTACCGCCGTGCATATTATCTTCATCATCTTCTTCGTCCAGTTCATCTTCGTCAATAATTACAATCTCTTCGGTGAGGGATGGTCGCAATAACACCTCCGGTCCACCTCCATAAATATCGTGCAAGAATCGCCACAATGGAGCACTTATTTGTACATAATCTGAACCCAATCTCACACTACGGATGGGAGAATGTTGCACCGTCACATCTTTGCTACCGCCAGTCACAATATTGGCATTGTTGATGGGTCCCGGTTCCTTATAGGTTATTCCCTTGGCAAACTGCTGCCATTTGCGCAACCATGACATTGAAATTGCATAAATCGCCCCAGCTGAATCCAACTCACCATCCAAACCATTGTAACGCTGAAACACGGAATGTTCATAGTGTTGCCTTTGGGCCAAAGCCTCGGCAGCCCGCTTACACACCTCACATTCGAACAACATATTTATGGCGGGACCACCACCAAATTTACTATAAAAGAATTCCCATAAATTCTGGGAAATTGGCACTGCTAAGTGTTGGATCATAGTGATTTTAGAAGGCAACACTCCTCCATGCGGACAAAGCATAGACCAATTGCTAATGGCACCGGGTTCAGAAAAGGTTTTAAAACGGGCCAACCACTCCCGCGAAATGTAAAATCTCATATCTGACTGAGACTCTGGATAAGTGGCAGACAATTCATTGGCTTCAAATCGCAACAGCTCCATTTGGGGATTATTTTTCTGATAGAACAGGACATAGGCCTGGCAATTGGCCACAGTGTCCGGCGATACCTCGTTTACGTGTTGATCATCGAATTCATACCAGCGATTATTGCAAAAGTTACGAGCATAACAGGTATAATGACCGCCACCCACGGTACCATGATGGCATATGACCGAAGTCAAATTATACAATGCCACCTGGGATTTGCAGTCCTTGTGTACGTACGGATTCATATCGAAATTTTCCAAAGGAAACTCAACATGGGCCGATATTTTTGAGCTATACGAAAGATCATGGCGAAAACGTTTCAAATGGATACACAGGACCTCGGGTAGGTCAAGTACTCTGGAATATTTCACGCCAGTCCTCAATTTGTTGCACTTTTCACAGCTATACATGTTGTCACCCTTCAGCTCGTCAGCACTAAAAAAGCTGGCCATGCAATCGTGCAGTGTGACCGAAGGACCCCACAACCAGGAGCGTACCATGTTCCATAGCCATGATATCCAACCTTCTTGGGCCCTTGTCGTACTGCTGGTGGCTGTCGAATCAATGGAATTTAAACTTTGGACACTCATGCTATTGGTTTGATGCAAAACATTTAAGAAATCCCGATTTGGTATGGGAAGCGATAGATCTTGGAATGTTTCCTCTCGCGTAGAAATGCGATCACATGTAAGACATTGCACCGAAGACAAAAGTTTGCCATCGAAAATTTCACTTACAATGGAACGTATAGTTGTCGTGGCAGTTGAAGATAGGCCAATTGGAGGGGCAACTCCACAAGCTGATGAGGGGATATTTCCTTTTGCTCCCAAATGACTAGAAGCCATGTAATTCTCACACAGACTAGACTGTTCAGAATTGGAACTGTCACAAGTTACATAGTTGGTATCCATATCTTGGCTGGAGCTAGATGTTGTGCTGATCTCAGACATAGAATCTTCATCATCGCGTTCTTGTTGAATGTTTTCCCTAATGGAATGTTTTCTTTTGGTTGGCTCATAGCTTAGCGTCGTTTCCTTCAGTTCCTCATGTAATTGATCCATAAAACACCTCAGGAATTCCTGGGTATCATGCTGTTGAAAACCCCTAAACATTGGGTTGACACTTCTGATGCCATACAAAATGCTGCGAGGTGCCAAAAATGCTTTGCCCTCATCTCGCCTCCTCCACATGTCACGCATTAGACGTTGATAACTCTTTGCCAGTCCCGCTTTACAACGATGAGCACACTGTTCCAAAGTGTAATCCATTAAATCGCCACAATTCAGAAAATAATGTGTCATGGGTAGAACATTGCTCAAGGCCTGTATGGCCGAATTCATATAGCACGTATTGGCAATATTCTGCAAGCCAACCAGGCCACTTGCATCCCCAGATCCACTAGCATAATCCGAATCATTTTCCTCATCCGAATAACGCATGGCCCGCAATACGGGGTCAACAATTTGAGCTGGACGTTCTGCACCGCTAATAGGTACCTCTCGTTCGCACAAATAGCACCAGGCACGTTGTGAGGAGAGGCTCATGTGAATACAATGCAGGGATTTATCCTTGCTGCGCTGGAAATGTTCGGTACTATGATCGTTGGCCTGATTGCTGCAGCCCACAAACATGCATTTCTTGTAAAGGCATATCCAAAGATTTGGTCCAGCATATCGGCAATTGGCACATGCATTATTCTGCAACAAAAAACAAAATATTTTTAAAATGTTCTCTAAAACAAAATAGCACAACTCCATGGATGCCTAACGGGAGGGGAAAATTCCATTTCCGATTTTTGTACATCAAAGCAAATTTTAACATACAACAACAAAGCGTGTGTGTCCTAGTTTCTTGTGTGTTGATTTTAAGGCCATCAAAGTAGCACCGAATACCAGCTGCATTGTTGGCCTTCACCACCACCACCACCAAAATTATGAGGGTCACCCATCACAAAAGACGAATTAAACACAAATTAAATTATCTGCAATGCATCCATAGAGCGCTATATTTGGAATTTTGTGGGAACCTCGTCAAGTTTAACGTCATGCAACGATGCATGATGCACAGCAGACAAATGACCACACGGCTGTTGTTTACTCATGGTGACTTGGTGTCAACTGCCCTGGCCACATTAGCCGTCCTTGATGGTTGTTAAATTGTGCCGTAATCCAGTGCGAGGGACTGATGGAATTTCTTCCACCAAATTATCCAAGTTTACGACGCCAGACAGGGTCTTCAAAGCCGAGTGTGGCACATAAAAGGGATTTCTAAGTCAAAAACAAACTAACAGATGTTGAAGAAAATCGATTTCTTTTGCTAAGGATTCCCAGCGCAGTCACGGAGGAGTTGTTCATAAGCGGTTGTTTACACAAGTCAAAACGACTGAAAATGCAAAATATGTCGCAATTATTACCCGATCTTTAAGAAATTGGAAATAGAGGTGGGGTTAGGGTCAGAATAGAAGCGTATTGTTTTTGGAGATGATCGCCAAATATTTGAAATGGACCAAAAACAGAAAAATGTCCTGATTTTGCAGTTGCAGTTGTACAGGCCATAATTATGGACCAAACGAAATTTAGCATGGAGTTAGAGGTTAGGGCTGGGCAGAAGCCTACCAATTTGGATGGTCAGCGGATAATATTTAGCGGTTAAATGAGATCATAACTTTTATTATTATATACATGTCACAATTATCGTCCGAACCTTAGGAAATTTTGCATAGGGATAGGGTTATGGTCAAAAATGAAGCCTATCGTTATTTTTAAAGATGTACCTTTAAGGGTTCAAATGGATCATGAAAATGAGTGCTACGTTAAGAAACTTCATCGCGCGTTTCTTCCAAAAACAAGCATAGGTAGAGTGTGAACAAAAGAAAATATAGCAGCTGTATCGGCCAGTGTTTATTACGACCCTCAATTATCGTGCATATTTTTTTTAAAAGGATTTAGGTTTGCAGACGTTCAAAATACAAATGGGAAAATGCTTAAAGCCCAACGACTTTTTTTATAGAAAAATTGTGTTCAGCAGCGAAGCTCATGTTTGGCTCAGTGGGTGGTGAATATCAACAAATGCGGTTTATAGGATGGTGGTATCATTGGACCGCACTTCTTTTAAGATGCGGAAAATCTTAACGTAACTGTGAATAGTGATCGCCAACGTGGGATGATATCCAATTTTTCTGTTTTTTATATATTTTGTATTTCAAACAACTTTCATATAGTCTTAAAAATTACCCTTCAAAACAAATTAAGAATAAATCGATTGAATTAGATTAGAATCCAATTTCTTTGTATGATATGTAGCATGGTAGAAGAATATAGGTAGACGCTTCCACACAGCTGCTGGGACAATGAACTGTCAAACCAATTTTGGAATCGAAATTTTTGAATGAAAAATTACTCAAATTTGTAAAAATTATAAAAAATTGCATATTATAACAACCTCTGATTGGCGTTGTGTGGTAAAACATAGACAAATGTACTTATTTTTGGAGAAATATTTAAACAATTTTGACATATCAATGTTTCCAAGCGTTGATGCATCTACCTGTATTTTTCTACCATGATATGATATGATATAGTCTCTAAAAATCACCCCTTAAAATCAAATTAAAACTCAGCAAGAAAAAATCGATAAATCGATTGAATTAAAATAGATTTATATATCCCTAATTATGCACTGTTTGATGTCGATATATAGATCCCTATGATTATTTTTGAAAAAATGTTTTTGCTCCCGTAAGCGTAAAAAGACATTTTGTTTTCATTTATGCACAAATCTCCATATATTTATATATGTACTTTGTCTTTTATATATTTTGTTATAAACGAAGGAATTGTGTAAAACTTTACGCTGCCACCATTTGCAGGAGATACGCATCTCGGTTATACGCTCATGTCGCTAACTTTGTTTAGGTAATGGGGCATGAATGCCTTTGATACGACAGTCACGCCGAGTATTAGATAGATGCCTAATACGAAAAATATTCACTATTTTAATGGATAAAACACAGAAGAAAATTTTAATTTCCAATTGTGCATTGTAAACAATAAGTGTTGGTGTTAGATGTTGTCGTTCGGTGTTGTTGGAGCGCAACTAATTTTGTCAATTTTCACGCTCCATACTATGGATACATAGAAGTTATTTGTGTCAGTGAAGAAATTTGTGAAAAAAAGTTTATCTAATTTCCCCGTGAAGAAATTTTCATCAAGCCTCAGTGAAAATGTTAATTACATAGAAGAAATTGCCGAAAGATTCCAGCAGAGCAAGGCAACGGATGAAGAAAAAGTAGTATTGAGTTGAAAGAAAGCTAATTTGCAATAGAAAAGTGATTTTTTTCTTCGTTTTGCAAAATCTTGAGTGACAATTGTGCGTGTGCTTTTTTTTTTTTGAGTATGCGGACGGGTGTGTGTGTACGTTTGTGATCTTCGCCACGCCAAAGAGAAGACAAATGGACAGACAGACAGGCAGATAATCGGTCAGTCAGTCGGTCAGTTTGTCAAACAACAACAACATCCGGGGGAGAAGAAAATTATATCCAAAGAAAACGTTAGCAGGCACCCAAACCTTGCGCAACAAACAAACACACATACATTCTCATACATTCGCAATAATAATAACAATAACAATAATTTAAGGAAATTGAAATTCCTTTAGACGCGGCGAGCAAAAAAAAAAACAGAATCTATAAATCTGTGACAAATAAGAACACAGCACAGGAAAAAAAATTAAACCGCACAAACGCAGTCACCAGTAGCAGTCGCAGCAGCAGCATCACCCTACTCATCATCGTACATACCTACATATTTACCATACATATATTAACACAATCGATTTGTGTTAATTGCTCTCTACATCTTGTGATATGCAACATCAGCATCCCAGAACATTGGAGGCTTCGGCTGCTGCCCATACATCTGGCGGTGCTTCGTACGATGGTAAAATTGCTGGTCTCTATGATTTGGAGGAGACATTGGGTTCGGGACATTTTGCTGTAGTGAAATTGGCACGACATGTCTTCACCGGGGCCAAAGTGGCCGTCAAGGTGGTGGACAAAACCAAACTGGACGAAGTCTCTAAGGCTCATTTGTTTCAGGAAGTAAGGTAAGGGGTTTCGGGAAGACAAGTATAAAAATCAATTCCATTTAATTTTTTTTTTTTTTATTTTTAAAAATTTTCTTTTGAGATAACTAGATTGTTTAAAGTGACCGAACGACCAACTTAATGATAAGATATGCATAATTAATGATGGATGATTGCATGGGTATTTAGTGCAAACATTCACGGCCAAGTTAGCGTCAATTGCCACTTGTGTAGCCATTTCAACTCCATTTCCATTCATCAATGATGTAAAAATTGAAAGTAATTTCCAATCGCCAATTAACTAACCAAAAAAAAAAAAGAAAAACTTAAAAATTGCGTTCACAACGAAACATGAGTAAAATTGGGGTCAATGTTCGCTTTTGACAACTACCCCACCACTAAAATGTGTGGTGTTTTTTTTCTGTTGCCCAAAATACGCTCGCGGCCCACCAACCGACCAACAACTTATATAAACCGAAAGTGGCGAAAGAGTGACATTTTCAATTTTGTTGTTATTTTCATTGATACGAGAAAAACAAAAAATGTTTCATTGTTATTGTTTTAGTTTAAATGTTACTTGATAATATAAATTGAATTACGAAGGGCAAGGTCAGGAACAAATATTACGACATATTGAGGTTTTTTTTTTTTTTTTTCAAAAATATCAGCTGCAATTACTTTTGACGACATCACTGACGACTGGTAAATTAAGAGATCAATGGTCAATATGCATTAATTAGCAAAGAGCCAGGAATTTCAATGTTTATTCATAAACGTGTAGTAAGATCTTTTATGGGTGTTCTATGGGCAGAAGACATCCTAAAGGGTCCTCTTATATAAATGGAAGACCTTCTATTGGTTATGTTAGTGGTTTTAAGTAGTTATTTTGACATGATTTTCTGCTTAAATAGCTCTGGTTTGAACTCCAAAATAACAAGTTAGAAAATATCAGTCGGTTTTGCCGACAGATGTCTATCTTCAGCCAATGTTCGATTATTTACATATCAGGGTGAGATAAAGAAAACTGCAACAAAGTCAAACGCCATAATTTTTATATTTTTTTAGATATTATTGAATTCATCAAATTTTAGAATAAGTTTAGATTTTTCGAATTGGTCACCTTTGGCACGAATTATGGCCTTCAAGCGGTGAACGAAACCGTCACACGAATGTTGCTTTGCGGTAATTTGGCGAAGCGCTTGCTTGAGGTGATCGACACTTTAGTATTTTTTAGTGCCAACCTTGCTTTCCAAAATATTGCAGAAACAATAGTCCAACGGATTGGTATCCGGAGATTTTGGTGGCCATTGTGGGCTGGAAATGAAGCGAGGAACCTCATTTTGTAACCATTCTTGGGTGGCCCGTGCTGAGTCCTGTTAGAATGTCCAAGGTCTGCGGCCAAAATGTTTGCGTGCCCAAGGCTTTAATACACCCTCCAGAATATTTTCGCGATAATATTTTGCATTTTTTCCGAACCATTTCTGCTGATGTTGCTTTTTTCTTCCGTCCACTCCCTTGGCGACGGGCTACGGTAACGAGCGATAGTACGAGACACAAACGATTTATTCACATTTAAATGCTGGATTGTTCTAACTATAGCCATTTGTGGTTTTCCAGCCAAATATAAAGACATCAAACTATCACGCTTGAATTCCATCACGAATAACTTTTTTCTGGAAAGTTCTCACCAAATGCTTTGGAATAATTTTTACAGCTGTCGGACGAGTTGCTTAGAAATGACAGCAGTCTGAAGTTGATTGCAGTTTTTGCATCTCACCCTGTACAAGTATTGGAAATTGTGACCTTTTGTGGGTGAGGTACAAGAAGGGGCTGACAGATATATCTGGCATTTGCAAAAATATTTGGATGTGTTATAATTTGAAGAGATTTGGATGCTTATTACAATTTTTTAGTGCGTTTTGATTTTCAAAAATATTCAACCCGTGGGGGAGGAACAAGAAGAAATAGTCCGATCTCTACCTTCTTTAGAACAGATGTAGTGTTGATAAAAATATTGAGATGTGTCAAGTCTGAATGGAATCGGTTGTTAATTGCCCGTTTTATAAGATTCATGAATAACTAAATTTTTTTTTAAATTTTAAAATTGGATTAACGAGATTCCTACTGTTCCTATCTACTATCTAGCGAAACCACAGCCAAGGGAACGGGCTTGGAATAATTAGCGGGGAAAGAAAACCCTGTTGAGCTTGACCTGGGGGAGGTAATGATTTAGTGGACCGATATATTCTATTCTCACAGCAGATCTTTTGTTAGAAAAAATAATGCCAAGTGTGAAATTTGAAGAAAACCGGACGTTTATTTCTGACCTTATAAGTATCATGGATATTTAAAACTTTGACCCTATGTGGGGGAGGTACCAGAAGAGGTGTGCCGATATATCCCATCTTCGTAGCACATCTTGTGTTAGTAGAAATAATGGGATGTGTAAAATATGAAGAGAATCGGATGCTTATTTCGATTTTATGATGTTTTGGTTATTCGAAACTTTGAAACATGTGAGGGAGGTACCAGAAGGAATGGTCCGATCTCTGCCATCTTTATAACAGATCTTGTGTTATTGGAAATATTGAGATGTACGAGGTTTGAATGGAATCGGATGTTAATTTCGCGTTTTATGAAGTTCATGGATATTAAAAATTTTGACCCTTTTTGGGGGGGGGGGGGTTGTACCAGAACGAGTGGACCTATTTATCCCATCTCTATACCAGATCTTTGGTAACTAAAAATATTGTGATATGTGTAATTTGAAGAGAACCGGGTGCTGACTCCGGATTTTATGACCGCTTTGGTTATTCAAAATTTTAACCCTTTGTGGGGGGTTACCAGAAGGAATTTTTCGATCTCTACCATCTTTATAGCAGATCTTGTGTTGATGGAAGCATTAAGATGTGCCAAATCTGTAAGGAATGTGATGCTAATTTCGCGTTTTATGAGTCGTAAATAGATATTGTAGAGGTGCAGCGTATTGTGCGGGCCTAAAAACGAATTGAGACGAATGCTGTCGTTCTTCAGCTGCAATGGATATGGGGTGGACTCCGAGGACGACATCCATCCTGTAATTGCTGATGGTATCTGTGACTGCATCAGTATGAATACCACTCAGACCTTCCTGTAGGCTTCTTGGTCGAGAGGCTCTCTCTTATAGTGTTGGACCTCCCTCTCTAGACCAGTGGCTAATAGCTGTGGTATGCATGGACGACTTAAAAATGCCATCGAATTTGATACTTAAGACCTTGAGTTAATTATGAGTCAGAATTAAAGCACAATTGACCAGCAGATTCAAGATAGCCTTATCTTCGGTGTCCTTGGGGTGAAAAGTGAGAGCGTCGATTTCGCGACAGATATTTTTATAATGGTTATACTGCATGGTGATACAATGAAAATACTGCTCTTCGGATCATTGATTTCCCCATTTTCTTCAATTAAGTGACTTTGGTAGGGGTAACGTAATAAGTATTACAAATTCTGTAAATTTGGACCCTCAAAGGCCGCTATTTGTTTGGCTAAAAATCCACTGCATATAGACCTTTTAGAAGTTGTGTAAAATACATCTCTGATATATTTTCTGCCTGGAAAGCTTCTGTCGAAAAAGATCCCCAGAAATATACATTTTCTAAGTCTTCTACGCAGAGACAATATTTCTCAGTTCTTTTTTACAAAAAAGCCTTTAAATTAAAAGCTTCTTGAGATCCTTTGACAAATGTAATACCAAACTCTTTACAACTACCATTCCTTCCCAAGCAAAATTAAATAACAAAATATATATTTTTTCCATTTCCCTTTCAGATGTATGAAACTCGTACAGCATCCCAATGTCGTGCGTCTGTACGAAGTTATTGATACCCAAACTAAATTATATTTAGTTTTGGAATTGGGCGATGGCGGTGATCTCTACGATTATATCATGAAACACGATGGTGGTTTGAGTGAAAATTTGGCCAGGAAATATTTTCGTCAAATATTGCGGGCAATTACATACTGTCATCAGTTGCATGTGGTACATAGGTATGTTGATAGTCAGTTTTATTTTGGCTTTTAAACACGAAATATAATCATTTACTTTTTTACAGAGATCTAAAGCCAGAAAATGTGGTGTTCTTTGAAAAGCTCGGCGTGGTTAAACTTACCGATTTTGGTTTTAGCAATAAATTCTCTCCTGGCCAGAAGTTGGAAACGTTTTGTGGTAGCTTGGCTTATTCAGCGCCCGAAATTTTATTGGGAGACTCATACGATGCACCAGCTGTGGGTAAGTTGTACAGACGATTAGTCCAGATGCCTTTCTTTTCCCCTGTTATCATTATACCCTCAGTCATATGGCTAGAGAGGGTATATATCATTTGATGCGGCCAAAACGTGTATTTTTGAAATAACGGTGTTAGACCCTAGGTCTCTTTGGACCAAATCCGTTTCAGGACATTTGGAGTTGATTTAGCGTTGCCCGTCCATCTGTCTGTCTGGCTGGTGCGCACGATAACTCTCGAAGGGAGTATCCGATTTGATCCAAACTTGGTACAACGTAATATTATTGTCAAACTTAGATCGAGTTCGGAGATGGCCAATATCAGTCCACTCTTTCTGGTACCTCCCCCACAAAATGTCAAAATTTTCAAAGAAAATCATTTACGCACAGAAAGAGAAAGGATAATGCGATTTTGCTCCAACTTCGCATATCCTAATATTTGCATCAGTGCACGGTCAGGTGTGAAAATCGACAATATCGATCCACTTTATCAAGTACCTCCCCCACCAAATGGCCAAGATTTGGAATAATTATAACTCTTGTAAAATGGGATGCACGAGTTCGATTGTCCTCAAATTACACGCATCACAATATTTTTATTAATCCAAGGTCTGGTGTAAATATGGAGTATATCTGTCCACTCCTTCTGGTACCTTCCACACAAAGGGTCAAAAATATTGAATATTCATGAAGCTCATAAAACGTGAAATTAACATCCGATTACATTCAGATATGGCACATCTTAATATTTCCATCAGCTCAAGATCTGTTATAAAAATTATAGAGATCGGAAAATTTCTCCTGGTACTTCCCCCACAAAGGTTCGAAGTTTTGAATAACCAAAACGTTCATAAAATCCGAAATAAGCATTCGGTTCTCTTCAAATTACACACATCACAATATTTTTATTAATCCAAGGTCTGGTGTGAAGATGGAATATATCTGTCTACTCCTTCTGGTAACTCCCCCGAAAAGGGTAACAATTTTTAGTAGCCATAAAGCTCACAAAACCCTAAATTAACATCCGATTACACTCAGACTTAGCACATCTCAATATTTCCATCACCACAAGATCTGTTATAAAGATGGTAGAGATCGGAATTCCTTCTGGTACTTCCCCCACAAAGGGTCGAAATTTTGAATAACCAAAACGATCATAAAATCTGAAATAAACATCTGGATGTCTTCAAATTACACACATCACAATATTTTTATTACCCCAGGGTCTGGTGTGAAAATGGAATATATACGTCGACTCCTTCTAATACCTCCCCCACAAAGGGTAAAATTATTGACTATTCATAAATCTCATAAAACGCGAAATAAGCATCCGATTCCATTCAGACTTGGTACATCTCAATTTTTCCATCAACGCAAGATCTGTTATAAAGATGGTAGAGATCGGACCATATCTTTTGGTACCTGCCCCACAAAGGGTTAAAGTTTTGAATAACCAAAACGATCATAAAATCCGAAATAATCATCCGGTTCTCTTCATATTTCACACATCCCATAATTTATACTAACGCAAGATGTGCTGCTAAGATGGGATATATTGGTCCACTCCTTTTGGTATCTCCCCGACAAAGGGTCAAAATTTTGAATATTCATGAATTTCATAAAACCCGAAATTAACATCCGATTCTATTCAGACTTGACACATCTCAATATTTTCATCATCACAAAATCCGTTATAAAGATGGTAGAGATCGGACCATTCCTTCCGGTACCTCCCCCACATAGAGTTTAAGATTTTTAAAAACAAAACGCAAAATAAGCTTCCAACTCTCTTCAAATTTCGCACCTACAAACAATTTGAATAATCATAACTCAAAGCTGGGGTTATACATCTGTCGGCTAAACCGACTGATACTATTTTACCTGTTTTTAAATTATTAACGCATTCCCTATTCCAGACATTTGGTCGCTTGGCGTCATCCTCTATATGTTGGTGTGTGGCCAACCACCCTTTGAGAAGGCCAATGATTCGGAAACCCTTACCATGATTATGGACTGTAAATACAGTGTACCACCACAGGTGTCACCATCATGTCGCAAATTAATTGCCTCCATGCTGGTGCGGGATCCCAAGAAACGGGCAACGCTTGAACAAATATCCGCCGACGAATGGGTGAATGAAATGAGCAGTGCAAATGATGCCATGGATTCGCTGCCGCTGATAAGTCGGGAACAGTTGAGCGAAGAAGATCATGCTTTCATAATACAAAAAATGATCAATGGCAATATAGCACCCAAAGAGGAAATTCTTCAGTAAGTAGCTCCCACAACGGTTAAACCTAAATCTTAATTACGAATTTTCAATTCTTTACAGAGCATTGGATAAAAACAAATATAATCACATAACAGCAACCTATTTCCTATTGGCCGAAATGCGTTTGCGTAAACGACGCGAGGAACAACACCTCAAGCATAATCCCCATTTGGCCTCAACGCTGCAGGGGAAAAAGTAAGTAGAGCCCAGTGCCAACCATTGCCTTTTAAAGCCTTTTTAAATTTCAATTTCATTACTTCCATTTTGTTTCATGCTCTCAAAGAAACATTGTTGGTGGACGTGCCCAAGTGCCGGATAAAAAAACAGCTGGCGTTGGTGTTGGGGGCATTGGTGGTGGTGGTGGCAAACAACCAATGATGGTGCCAATTAATATTGTTTGTGCACCGGAACCAATGCAAAATGATTTAAAAACGGTGTGTTCATTTTCTCTCTTCCTCTCTTTATCAATACATTGCTTTGTTTCCCTTCCTTTCAATTACTTCAGTCAGAGCCGCACTCATTGATTGGTAATTGCCTTAATGAACTGCTAACTAATCTAATTTCCCTGTCTTCCGTTTATTTTGTTAAAGGACAAACGTACAAGAAAATGTAGCATTGTACGCGAGGAGGATGAAGAGGAATCTTCACATGAACTCTCATCGGACGGTAATGAATTGAAAGTGGCCGTCACCAGACGTGAGTCAATATCTGATGGCCGTCTTAATCGTTCTGTTCAAGAGAAATGTTCTAATATTGTCTCCTCCTCTTCCACAGCCTCTAACAAAACGAGTGGTGGTGGCGGTAGAGGAGGAGGCGTGGCAGATGCCGATGACACGGATGCCGTCATGGATACACCAACAAAAATGGTTGTATCGGTCGATGCTGCGCTGGCGCAAAAACTAAAACAAATCGACAAGGATACAACCGACGACGACGTCGTCAGCTGCTTGACGGTGGTGCGTAAACCCCCACCACCATCATCGCCTGACAATTCGGAAAATAATACCGAAAAATCATCGGAAATGGAGGACACGTTACGCGGCCTAAAGGAATTGGAAATTGGCAAACTGAAACATTTGCCAGGAAATACGCATAAAAATCCTGTCCTCACACATAGACGTCACTCGAAATTGAATAAAATTCGAACGCCATCGTGCAGCAGTTCCGAGGCGTCCGACGATGATACGAAAAGTCGTAACAAAAAGAAAATCCATAAATTAGGCGGTGATACACCGACACGTTTTCGAATGCATCGGCGTGACTCACATGATGACTCGAGTGATTCGCAGGATCAAGGATTTCCAACGACGGGTGGTACACATGGTGGCCATGATTTGATAACAACAACAAATGTCAACAATAAACGCGAAAGTCAAAATCATCAGGTAAGTGAGATGGGGGGAATAGAGGAGAAGATACGGACAATAGGGAAATTATATTTTTCATGTGGGAAAGAAAAGATCTTCGTTAGAATTTGTACTTAGCGTAGTTTATTACAAATGGGAGACTTATACATCGTCTTCTTTTGTGATATACATATTTTTTGATAGAATATATTTTTCCACAGGAAATAGCTGAATTATAGAAGGCCCATCTTCTGTGTATAGAATACATTCATGTCTTATGGCTATAGAGACATAAAGCCTTTATGATCACTAGTCTTCTATACAGAAGCTTTAATGACAGATATTCCTACAAAAATATTTTCCAAAAATTATTAGAACAAGTTCAATGGTATCATTTGGTTTTTGCCGACAGATATATATCCCCCGAGCTTGAGTTATAATTATTCAAACTCTTGACCCTTTATGGGGGAGGTTCCGAAGCAGTTGGCCTATTCGTATCTGACCTTAATCTGATATAAATATTACAACGTTCGACTACTTCCTATGCTTTATATGAGATATGGGCAAATTTTTGGAAAATGTGGAAATATGCGTAAGGTAAAGGATATAGTGGACCGAAGTATTCCATTTTCATACTTCATCTAATACAGATGAAAATATTGGTATGTGCAAAATTTGAAGGAAATCGAACATTTATATTCACTTTTATGGGAAATCTTAAAAATTTCGATATCAGATTTCTGGCTAAGGAAAATATTTAGAGGGGAGGTACCAGAAGAAATGGTCCGATCTATATCATCTTTATGACAGATCTTGTGTTGATAGAAATATTGAGATGTGCCAAGTCTGAATGGAATCGGATGTTAATTTCGTGTTTTATGAGCTTCATGGATATTCAAAAATTTGACCCTTTGTGGGGAAGGTACCAGAAGGAGTGAACCCATATATTCCATATTCGCACCAGACCTTTGGTTAATAAATATATTGTGTTCTGCGTTATTTGAGAAGAACTGGATGCTTATTTCGGATTTTATGATCGTTTTTGTTATTCAAAACTTCGACCCTTTGTGGGGGAGGTACGAGAAGGAATGGTCCGATCTCTACCATCTTTATAACAGATCTTGTGTTGATGGAAATATCGAGATGTGCCAAGTCTGAATGGAATCGCATGTTAATTTCGTGTTTTATGAGCTTAATGAATATTCAAAATTTTGACCCTTTGTGGGGGAGGTACCAGAAGGAGTGGACCGATATATCCCATCTTTAGAGCAGATCTTGTGTTAGTAGAAATAATGGGATATGTGAAATATGAAGAGAACCGGATACTTATTTCGGATTTTATGAACGTCTTTGTTATTCAAAACTTTAACCCTCTGTGGGGGAGGTACCAGAAGGAATGGTCCGATCTCTACCATCTTTATAACAGATCTTGTGCTTATAGAAATAATGAGATGTACCGAGTGTGAATGGAATCGAATATAAATTTCCCGTTTTATGAGCTTCATGAATATTCAAAGTTTTGACCCTTTGTGGGGAAGGTACTAGAAGCAGTGGACCGATATATTCCATCTTTACACCAGACCTTGGATTAATAAAAATATTGTGATGTGTGTAATTTGAAGGGAACCAGATGCTTATTTCGGATTTTATGATCGTTAGGTTATTCAAAACTTTGACCCTTTTGTGGGGGAGGTACCTGAAGTAGTGGTCCGATCTCTACCATCTTTCTAACATATCTTGTGCTCATGAAAATATTGAGATGTGCCAAGTATGAATGAAATCGGATGTTAAATTCTTGTTTTATGAGCTTCATGAATATTCGACAAATTTACCCCTTGTGGTGAAGGTACCAGAAGCAGTGGACCGATATATTCCATCTTCACACCAGACCTTGGGTAAATAAAAATATTGTGATGTGTGTAATTTGAAGACAATCGGATGCTTATTTCGGATTTTATGACCGTTTTGGTTATTCAAAACTTTGACTCTTTTGTGGGGGAGGTACCTGAAGTAATGGTCGATTTCTACCATCTTTATACCAGATCTTGTGTTTATGGAAATATTGAGATGTGCCAAGTCTGAATGGAATCGGAAGTTAATTTCGCGTTTATGAGCTTCATGAATATTCAAAATTTTGACCCTTTGTGGGGGAGGTACTTGATGGAGTGCACCGATATTGTCCATTTTTGCACCGGACCTAGCACTGATGCAAATATTAGGATATGCAAAGTTGGAGCAAAATCGGGTTATGCTTCTTATTTCTGTGCAGTACTAGAAGGAGTGGACTGATATTGCCCACGTCCGAACTCGATCTAAGTTTGGCAATTATATTACAATGTACCCAGTTTGGATCAAATCGGATACTCCCTTCGAGAGATATCGTGCGCTCCGGCCAGCCAGACAGACGGACGGACATCGCTAGATCCACTCCTAATGTCCTGAAACGAATTTGATCCAAAGAGATCTATTTCTAAAACCATGATTTCGTCGAGGCACGTTTTGGCCGTATTAAATGATATATACCCTCTCTAGTCATATGGCTGAGGGTATAAAAATTAGTGCACATTTTGAGCAGAGTCCTTCCACTTTTTTTCAGAGTCCTTCCACTTGAATTTAAATTTATAAAATTGTTCTAACCAATTAAATTTTTCATTTCATTTTTGTTTTCAGCAAAACAAATCGGAATCCGATACACGTAATAAATCATCTCACGCCCATGGGCACCATCATAGTAGTACACACAAACAACAGCAGCATAAACACAATAGAACAACAACAAACAACAAGGATGGCCACAACTCACTGGCTGAGTCGTCGAAAACATCGGTCATCCCGCTTAATTCGAATAATGTCACCAATATTCGAATACGTAGACGAATACGCGAAAGTCAATCATTGGATCGCATTACGGAGGCTCAAGAATATGAAATGCGTCATCAGTACAACCATCATCATCATCGTCTGTCGTATTCGGGGGGCGAAAATGGCGAACGTTGTACAATTACCGATCAAAGAAATTCCCTGTTTAATTTGCATACCTTTCCCGAGACCAAGGAAGACGATGATGATGACGACGATGCCATGGACGATGAGGTATGCAATGCGGCTGGTGGCACAAATTTGGATGGTGAAAACAATTCCGATTTTGCCAATCAAGCTGAACAGCTAAGAAACTCCTTGAATACCCTTAAGCTGATAGGTGGTATTAGTAGTGGTGGTGGTGGTGGCGGCAGTGGCGCCGGCAATCATTCGAATAGCAGTAGCCTAAAATCATCCCATACCCATAGTTCCGCTAGTAGTAGCATTTATAAATTAAATTCCATAGAAGAAATCGATTTGATTATCAAAGAAAAGAGTCTGACAAAGACACTGCAGGCAACCAGCTCCAAATGTTTTGTGACCATTCGAAAGATACGCAAGCTAGGTAAATATTTTCCAGTTGTAAATTTCTCGTAATAACACGTTGCTGACCCACCTGGAAGAAGAACTAGAAGTAATTGATTGGCAGAACATCAAGTAGCTGCTGCAGCAAGTGTGTCTAACAACAACAAATAAATGCCAATTTAAAATGCATGTTCGTCGTTCAAAGCCCAAACAAAAAAATCCCAAACATTTAACCAGAGAAACACACATACACACACGCGCGCATTCTATTGACAAAATGTGCAAGCAACAAAACAAATCAACAAATGTTCTAGAATTATTCATACAAAAATGGGGTGGCGAAAATATTTCCGTTTTGGAATTTGTAAAACAAAAATTGAGAGAAAAAATTATTTAAATTTCAATTTCCAATTTGGGTTTCTCAGAAAGTATTAATTCGTTTGAATTGAGAACAAGTCAAGGTGTATTTATAAGGTGGCGCAAGAGGCGAATTCAAAAGTTTAATTTTTTGTTGGAAAAATTTAACCAAAAAAATATGATAATTTTCAAAATTAAATTTTATACTGGCATATTTTTGAGGTTATAAAGGCAAGACCTAGTCCTTAGCCGGTCTTAAAGAAAACCTTGTAAAAAGATTGAACCATTTTCAAAAGAATTCCTACGGATTTTCTTTCGGATTGACATAGAGAAACATCCCTTTTAATATTGTAAAAAGAATGACAAAAAATTGTATTGAAAAAATGCAAATTTCAAATGGAGTTGTTTTCGTTGGCCCATTGCAACAAAACAAAAAGAGCTGTAGTCTATAAGAATTAAAATAATTAACCATGGAACTAAGTTGAGTTATACAATTCCTTTTTTAACTTCTTATAAAAACAAAAAACCAAGAGAAACAAAAATAAATTAAAAACAAAATACAAATCAAATAATTGTGGTAACTTTGCATCCATATTGAAAATATGTTGTCTCGTGTATACCGTGTAAAACTTCAAATCCAAACAAACAAACAAACAAAAATAATATATGAAAACTTAGATATTTATCGCCTGTTTATTAGAGTTTAGTAACAAAAGAAAAGAGCAACAACAACAAACAAACCCATTAAAAAAATATATAAATTATGTAAAACAACTACAAAAAACATATATATATTTCTAATGCATTAGTTTTATTATTTTTAATTTAAACAAACCAACAAACAAAAAAAAAAAACAAATAAAGAACAATAATTTAAGTATAAAAATCTAAAAGAAACAAAAAAACAAATACACCCAAAAGCATTCATAAGAAACACACACAACTGCAATCTTCATCATTTAGAAGAATGGAAAAACAAAAAAAAATTGAAAAAAAAAAATAAAAAGAATAATAACATCACGTACCTATCTGTGTATACCGTTCAAGGGATCTATTTCTATCTCTTCCAAACCATTTCAAATCATCTACAACACTCACTACTAACACTTCATCTACTCTCTCATTCATTCATCCATCCATCCATCCCATGGAGCCGCCTGTTAATCATTTGCAAATAAAGAAACTAAAACAAAAATAACAATGCAATGCAAATAAAACAAATAAACATATTCATGAAAACAAATAATTATTTAAAAAAAAATTAATCAAACATACGCCACACAGAAATTACTTAAAACGCATTACATAATTACATAAAAAAAGCAAACAAGAAAGTAATAGTACACAATAAAAAAAAATACAAACAAAGAAATATATATATAGATTGAACTTAATATATTAAAACAATTTCGAATAATTAATTTGCAAGCCGGAAAATTAAATGGTAAGATATTCTAATAATACTTGCATGAAGCGAGTTGAAAAATCTCAATTGGGATTAACATAAAAGAATTCACAAAAAGTATTTAAGGCCGCGTCATTCACAATAGACTTTATGAAATGCATGCTTCCTCAATTGAAATTTGTCCAAGGACGAATCTTTATTTAATGAGGATAAAATACCAAATAGCAGTCAAAACGACGATGGGAACTTTGAAATGTCAAGACAATACAAATTACATTTGGGAGGGACTGAGTGCCCCCGTTCTAAAGGAATTATAATTTGTTGAATTATAGAAATCAATTATAATTCAAGTGATAGTAATGCTAGGGAATATTAGCTATTCAGGGCTGTCACAGAAACCATGTCGGTTTTGCTTATTGTCGTTTTTGTAAACCAATGTTGGTTTCATTTGGTGTCATGAAACCAAGTTGGTTTTGTCAATTTCGAATGTAAATAAAACTAATGTTCGAAACAGCTGTTGTTGCTTACATGTGTTGTTTGTTTATTTGTCATTGAAATATCAGTAAAAGTAAAGTAAATAAAAAAAGGAATAAGTCGCTATAAATAAAGTAAGATGGCATCAGCAGTGGTAGTTTTTGTGTTGTTGGACGAAGAACGCTCAGAAAAGGTGACGAGAAAAGCTCTTAGAGATTTCAGCAACCCAGTGGAGTTGCCGGAGATAGCGTAAGTAAATTTTTTTATTGTGAACTTACTCATAAAACTGCTTTGCAGATTTATGGTCCTTTAAAAATTCTTTAAAAAATCCTTAAAAAAACCACGTTTATGGTCCTTCAAAAATTCTTAAAAAAATCCTTAAAAAAATCCACGTTTATGGTCCTTTAAAAATTCTTAAAAAAATCCTTAAAAAAATCCACGTTTATGGTCCTTTAAATATCCTTTAAAAAATCCACGTTTATGGTCCTTTAAATATCCTTAAAAAAATCCTCGTTTATAGTCCTTTAAAAAATCCTTAAAAAATCCACGTTTATGGTCCTTTAAATATCCTTTAAAAAATCCTCGTTTATAGTCCTTTAAAAAATCCTTAAAAAATCCACGTTTATGGTCCTTTAAATATCCTTTAAAAAATCCTCGTTTATAGTCCTTTAAAAAATCTTTAAAAAATCCACGTTTATAGTCCTTTAAAAAATCCTTAAAAAATCCACGTTTATGGTCCTTTAAATATCCTTTAAAAAATCCTCGTTTATAGTCCTTTAAAAAATCTTTAAAAAATCCACGTTTATAGTCCTTTAAAAAATCCTTAAAAAATCCACGTTTATGGCCCTTTAAATATCCTTTAAAAAATCTTTAAAAAAGCCACGTTTATGGTCCTTTAAATATCCTTTAAAAATTCTTTAAAAAAATCCACGTTTATGGTCCTTTAAATATCCTTTAAAAATTCTTTAAAAAATCCACGTTTATTGTTCTTTACATGTCCTTTAAAAATCCAAGTTTCTAGTCCTTTAAAAATTGTTTAAAAAATCCACATTTTTAGTCCTTTGAATATCCTTTAAAAATTGTTTAAAAAATCCCAATCAAATGAAAAGTGACAGCTCTAAGCAACTTGGTTTATTTCCAATAACAAAACCAATAACATTGGCTTCTATGACAACGAGCCGACAGTTGCTCTGTAATTTAATTTTTACCACTGGCAATGCCACAAAACTTTATGTGGTAGGGAATTACAGATCGAGTTTTCATTGGGCAAGTATACTTGTGGCAAATCTCTGTCTGTTGTAAAGAGGGGGTGTAAGGGAAATTGATCGTATTGACCAAGGTAGAACTAAGGAGGTAAAGTCATGTAAACATATGTTTACAATTTTTTTTCCAAATTTACAAATTTGACAATGTCTCATTGTCAAAATCTATATTCATAAATCCATTATATACACACAAATTCAGAGATGGGAACCTGTTTTTATGTAGTGAAATGTGACAAGGTAAATTAAAGAAAATGCAATGATGGGAATGCTTACTCGAAATGACTTTACCTTCTTGATTTTACCATGCTACTTCCCATACTTTATATGAGATATGTGGAAATATGCGTGAAGTATTCCATTTTCATACTTCATCTAATACAGATAAAAATATTCATATATTTCGATAAATTCCCTATTCATCTCAGATTTTTGTAGTATGTTTTACTCTCTTGTTAAAAAACACACTTTTCCTTACAGCAGACTTTCTACGTGTGAATTGAAGGTGTAAGGGTGCAAGTACATAAAAAGCTTGAAGTAATGGCTAGGCATATTAATGTCCTTTGTGAAATGTCACAAAATATGCCTAGCCATGACTTCAAGCTTCTTATGTACTTAATGCACAGCTCTGAAGATACTATTTATCTTCTTAATATATGAATGAAATTGAGTAAGAATAAATATACAAAGTTTTTATTTTAATGCATCTATCTTTCTTTTTCTCTCTGGTACTTTGAAATGCAATTTTTCGCCGCCGTCGTTCATCTATGTCGACAAGTTCAAAGTCGATCTATATATCCCCTTTTTTTAAATGTCAATTGTCAAGAACAAGAACAAGACTTTTGATCTCATGTCATCACCGACCGTCGTTGCTGGGAAAATAATTTTTTCCTAAATAAAAAAACATTGTGTCACACTGGAAATACAATAGCAGACCATTGGAAGCTTGCAAGGATATTAAGGAACAACTGCTTGACAAACAAAATACAGCATGTTAAGGGCCACAAAACATATTGCACACCGGTAAGTTGAAAGAATTTTCTTAGCTTTGACTGTGGGGAGTTATGAAAGAAATTGGCGTTGTCCCCCAACAGAATTTTTGGCAAAAAAGTTCTTTCTTTTTTGCATTCTTCTCATCTCTTGCTTATTCTATGTGCTCAATTGAATCATCCGTTCGCTTGACATTAAAGGGAAACAACAAATGTTTTTATTTTCAATAGAAAATACTGTCACTTTCATTTATTCTTTTGCGATTTTTTTTAGCGACACAACAAAACGGGTGAATTATTTGTGTCATAAAATTGTGGTTTCAACCAATTCACAGTACTCCACATTGAATTATCGTTATGGCGGTGCTAGCAGCAATCAGCAACAGCAAGGTCATGGCAACGGCGGCAAGCATCATTACTATCGTCATGATTTTCTAGCACCGCACGGTCCAAAGGCCTGGACCATACCACCAAATCGTGGTTACGGCATGGTTGTTGTGCGTATACTACGTGGTGCATTGAAACTACGTTATTTGCTGTTGGGTGGAGCCATCGGTGGTGGCATGACTCTAAATAAGGTACGTTGTGGTTTGGGAAATTAGTTTGATTTGATTTATTGAAAGTTATATAATATTTGTTATTGTTTTAGAAATATGAAGACTGGAAAGATGGCTTACCCGATCTAAAATGGCTAGAAGAAGCCTTGCCTCAGGGTGAAAAATGGAGTCAATTTTCAAAGACATTAATTGAAATTGGTGGTGCCGTTAAGGATGTTATTGAAATTGGTAAGTGTTGAGATGATTGCAAAATAATGTGGTAGTAAAATTGATATAATATTGGAAATATATATAATATTGGAAAGGACTTCTATCTCTCACTTTAAATGCTAATACAATTTATTTCCTAAATGTTTTTCATTAGTCATATGTTGTTATTCACAAAAAGAGCAAACACCATATCAGATATCCAACACATATCTTAGGTTCGATTTATTTTAAGCCATGGCTTTAGACGTTTTGAAGAACTTGGCCATATTCTGTAACCCTATAGGCTGTTATTCGCAAATTTGGTATTCCAGTAGGGTGCAAAACTTTCTCTAAACATTTTTCTGTTTTTTACAAATATTAAAAAAGCCTCGGATTGTTCCTATATCTGAATCGTGTTTTAAGCCTATTTTCAAACACAATCCTACCTCACAACAGTGGATCTTAAAGGACAGTTTTTGTAAAATCCGTTCACACCTCCATATGTGACATTTTCAGACACATTTTTCGAGGAATGTTGGACTCGGAATATGGGTTTGATTTTTAATTTTCTTTTAAATACCAGCTGACATTTTTATATTTTAGAATTGATTTTCTCGGGCCACCATTCCTCAATTAATTTTTTAAGAATATTTGTGTTAAGCAAAGACAGGATTACATGGTAGTTTTTTTTAATTACCATTGAAACCATAATTGAAGATAAATTTCGTAAGGACTTTAAAATGCCGAGAGTATTTAACAAATTTGCATTTGATTCACTTTTTATGTTCTAAATAATTTTGTCATTATTAGTCTTTCTGTGTAGAATTTTACATTGTTTTGAGTTAACACCTTGCCATTGTAATCACGCTTTCACTACAATCTACATTAAATCATAAACTAACCCCCCACCCCCCAACTAAAACCAAAAACCTAACTTACAATAAGGGTTTTGTGTTTTCACATATAGATCCACGTTTGAAACAACTCGGAGAGGACAAGGTAAACGAATGGAGGAAATGGTTTGATAGTCGTTTGGATGATGCCATCGAAGCAGCCGATTATCAAGTGGTGGCTAATGTCGAACGTACGTTATTTGTATTCTATAAAATTGATTGATTTATATATATTTAGTACAAATATAGATGTTTTGTTTTTTGAATTTAAAGTGAGAGATGTTGTTGCTTGCTCCTCTATTTTTGTACTAAGTTTTGCTCTGTTTTATAATGGAATATACGTTTATGTCTTTACGTTTTAGCCAAGGATGATTTGAAAGCCAAGACCACAGTTGCTGCATTGAGTCTGTCTCAAGATGATAGTCGCAGAAAGTATGGTAAGCCTTAAAATTATTATTTCCAAAGAGAAATTTGATAATAATTTTGGTATTTTTGTTTTCCAGAAACTCTACAATCCCAAGTGGAAACATTGCAAACGGAAATAATGAATGTCCAAATAAAATATCAAAAAGAATTGGAAAAAATGGAAAAGGAAAATCGTGAGCTGCGCCAACAATTCCTCATACTGAAACAACAGAAAAAGACAGGCACCAAGAAAATCAAAAAATCTCTCATAGATATGTATTCAGAGGTGTTGGATGAATTGTCGGGTTATGATACCAGTTATTCGATGGCTGATCATTTGCCACGTGTTGTGGTTGTGGGCGATCAAAGTAGTGGCAAAACATCAGTATTGGAGTCGATTGCAAAGGCCCGTATATTTCCCCGCGGCAGTGGTGAAATGATGACCCGAGCCCCAGTTAAGGTTACTCTAGCCGAGGGCCCCTATCATGTGGCACAATTCCGTGATTCAGAACGTGAATATGATTTAACCAAAGAATCCGATTTGGCTGAGCTACGTCGAGAGGTTGAGTTTCGCATGCGAGCCTCTGTGCGTGGCGGTAAAACTGTCAGCAATGAGGTTATATCAATGACCGTTAAGGGTCCCGGTCTACAACGCATGGTCTTGGTTGATTTGCCCGGCATTATTTCGGTAAGTTGCGATTGATTTTTCGTTATTGCTTTTTGTTTTTTAATGTTGATGGATTTTCTTTGTAGACCATGACCGTGGATATGGCATCAGATACCAAAGATTCGATACATCAAATGACCAAACATTATATGAGCAATCCAAATGCCATAATTCTGTGCATACAGGATGGCTCCGTTGATGCAGAACGCAGTAATGTCACCGATTTAGTAATGCAGTGTGATCCATTGGGACGTCGCACCATCTTCGTACTTACAAAAGTGGATTTAGCTGAGGAATTGGCCGATCCGGATAGGGTAAGTGCAAAAAAATGTGTATAACATAGCGAAAATCTCCATTCTGTTGGTCTGCGAAAAAAATCAAGGAAAATCCAGATGTGGCTCTGACAAAAAACTCCATACATATATCTAGGTTTGAAGATTTGTTCAAACGTTTAGAAATCCTTAAAAAACTGCCATAAGAAAAAAATCCTGAAACTAGTTGTCAAATGGGCTATACTGACCGACCTTATACAGGGTGAGATGAAAAAAACTGCAACCAACTTTAGACTGCTGTCATTTCTAAGCCACTTGAAATGTGACTTCATCGAAATCCGCGTCGCAGTGACCGAAAAGTGGCTCGTGAGCTGAACATATCGCAATATTCCATTCGGCAAATATTGACAAATGAGCTCGGGGTAAAGCCATTGAAATTCCAAAAAGTGCAACAACTTACACCGCAACAGAAAGAAAACAGACTCAAAAGAGCTAGAGTTGCTTCGCTTGGCCGAAAGTGGTGAACTGCCGAATTTGGTTTTCTCCGATGAAAAAACATTCGTTGTCCAGCGGTTTGTTCGTTGTCCAGTAAAAATGATCGTGTTTACTTGCCAAAGAGGTCAGCTGAAAATTTGTACCTTCGGTTGACCACCAGAACTCAAGCCTAAAGGGCCATGATGATGGTGTGGGCCGCCATAACAGCCGATGGTCGCTCTCCGCTCGTATTAATCGACCAAGGCATCAGAATAAATTACGAATATTATCGCGAAAATATTCTGGAGGGTCTATTAAAGCCTTGGGCACGCAAATATTTTGGCCGCAGACTTTGGACATTCCAACAGGACTCAGCACCATCGCACACAGAACGCGCTACCCAAGAATGGTTATAAAATGATGTTCCTCGCTTCATTTCTAGCGCACAATGGCCATCAAAATCTCCGGATACCAATCCCTTGGTCTATTGTGTCTGGAGTATTTTGGAAAGCAAGGTTCATTAAAAAATACCAAAGTGTCGATCACTTCAAGCAAGTGCTTCGCCGGGAATAGACCAAAATACCGCGGAGCAACATTCGGGCAGGGTGTAACGGTTTCAAGGACATAATTCGTGCCAAAGGTGACCAATTCGAACAAATCTAAACTTGATGCTATTTCCGACATTTTTTGCTTTCATTTACTAAAATTAAAAAAATATGTAAAAATTATGGCGTTTTTTTTTATCTCACCCTGTATATGCAGCAATTGAGGATCGGTGGCAGATTAAAAATATATTTTTGGAATTTTATATTCATTCGGATATTGGTCAAATAAAATTACTTTAATTTTTTATTTCTTTCTAGATTCGCAAAATTCTCTCGGGAAAACTATTCCCCATGAAAGCCTTGGGTTATTATGCTGTGGTCACGGGCCGAGGACGCAAAGATGACAGTATAGAAGCCATTAGGCAATATGAAGAGGACTTCTTTAAGAACTCCAAATTATTCCAGTGAGTTTGTTAACTCATTTTCAATTCATATTAATTATAAAAATTAAACTCATTCCTCTCTGACTTCCACAGACGTCGTGGTGTTATAATGCCCCATCAGGTAACCAGCCGCAATCTTAGTTTAGCCGTTTCCGATCGCTTTTGGAAAATGGTACGCGAAACCATAGAACAACAAGCTGACGCCTTTAAGGCTACACGTTTTAATTTGGAAACCGAATGGAAAAATAACTTCCCAAGGTAGGGATTTTTTTCATTGTCCCTATTTTTAGGTTTTAAAAAAATGTTTCATTTTTCTCTTCCAGACTACGTGAATCCGGCCGCGATGAGCTGTTCGACAAGGCCAAGGGTGAAATACTCGATGAAGTTGTAACGCTATCACAAATTTCAGCCAAAAAATGGGAAGAAGCCCTGAACGATAAACTGTGGGACAAATTATCGAATTATGTTTTCGAGAATATTTATCTGCCGGCGGCTCAGTCAGGTTCTCAAAGTAATATTATAACCGTTTATTTTTAAGTTAGTTTTGTTTGCCAAACTAGGATTCAGAGAAACATTATTTCAAGTTGCGCGCTCTTTGATTCTTGTATCATTTTGTTGTTTGTTTGTTTGTTGTGTTCGGCCCAGCAAATGTTTTTGTTTTTATGTTTCCAAAGCAAGAAGTGTTTATGTTTTATTTTTGAAAAACTGGGAAGTTTTTCCCCGCTTAGATTTTTTTAGGAGTTTAAGGTTTAGTATAGCTCTGCGAATTTTTATATGTACATAAATATGTAAATGTCTGTATATATTCTAATGGTATGTGGAGTTAAATGTAACAAATCCATTTAGCCTCAGATCTAACATAGCACAAAGATAATGATTTCATATCACAGAACCAATTTAACCGATATCAAAAGATTGATTTCAAAATTTCTGTAAATGGATTTGTTTACTTAATGGAATTATATAAAATTGTATACAATTATTTTTATAACCACCCTAGTATTTGAATAACCAAATAGCTTTTATTCTTCATCAATGATTTGGCATGCCTCAAAATTACCTTATATTCTTATTCTTCTTCAAAACACTAAAGACTAGAAAAATTCAAAAATTAATTTAATTTTTGGCATGTTAATCTCTAATATTACCCTTATTTGATATAAACTCTTTAACATTTATGTTTTGGAACAAAAATTGAAAGCATTCTATTCCCAACTTTGTACCCACCCATTGCTTCATTTCATTTACATTATCATTTCAATTTTATTTGTGGCTTTTTCGTTGTGAAATTTTGCTAATACTAATATTCAAATTCTTGGTTTTCAAAGATTCCTTCAATACCATGGTGGATATTAAACTGAGACAATGGGCGGAACAAGCCTTGCCAGCCAAATCTGTGGAAGCCGGTAAGTAACATAATTGTAAAAAAATATATATATATACAGGGTGAGATGAAAAAAACTGCAACCAACTTCAGACTGTTGTCATTTCTAAGCCACTCGTCCGACAGCTGTTAAAATTATTCTGACAGTGTGATTTCTTTATATTTGGCTGGACAAACCACAAGTGGCTATCGTCAGAGCACTCCAGCATTTAAATGTGAATAAATCTTTTGTGTCTCGTACCATCGCTCATTACCGTGCGGATACTGGCAGCGTAGGCCGCCGTCAAGGAAGTGGACGGAAGAAAACAACAACATTAGCAGAAATGGTTTGAAAAGTAAAGAAGCGACTTGTTCGAAACCCGCATCGCAGTGGCCAGAAAATGGCTCGTGAGCTAAACATATCACAATATTCCATTCGGCAAATATTGAAAAATTAGCTCTAGGTAATGCCATTGAAATTCCAAAAAACTGCAAGAACTTACACCGCATCAAAAAAAAAAAATAGACTCAAGAGCCCGCGTCAGGAACCTGCGACGCAATTGCCGAAAAATGGCTCAGGAGCTGAATATATCACAATATTCCATTCGGCAAATATTGAAAAATGAGCTCGGGGTAAAGCCATTTAATTTCCAAAAAGTGCAAGAACTTACACCTCAACGGAAAGAAAATAGACTCAAAAGTTCGTGTCAGAAACGCGTAGCAGTGACTGAAAAATGGCTCGTGAGCTGAATATATCGCAATATTCAATTCGTCAAACATTGAAAAAATGAGCTCGGGGTAAAGCCATTAAAAGTCCAAAAAGTGCAAGAACTTACACCGCAACTGAAAGATGATAGACTCAAAAGCCGGCGTCAGAAACCCACGTCGCAGTGACTGAAAAATGGCACGAGAGCTGAACATATCGCAATTTTCCATTCGGCAAATATTGAAAAATAAGCTCAGAGTAAAGCTATTGAATTCCCAAAAAGTGCAAGAACTTACACCGCACCGGAAAGAAAATAGTCTCAAAAGCCCGCGTCAGATACCCGCGTCGCAGTGGCCAAAAAAATGGCTCGTGAGCTGAACATATCGCAACATTCCATTCGGCAAATATTGAAAAATGAGCTCGGGGTAAAGCCATTGAAATTCCAAAAAGTGTAAGAAAATAGACTCAAAAGAGCTAAAGAGTTGCTTCGCTTGGCCGAAAGTGGCGAACTGCCGAATTTGATTTTCTCCGATGAGAAAACATTCGTTGTTCAGCAGTTTGTAAACAAACAAAATTATCGCGTTTACTTGCCAAAGAGGTCAGCTGAAAATGTGCACCTTCGGTTGGCCACCAGAACTCAAGCGCCGGCCATGGTGATGGTGTGGGCCGCCTTAACAGCCGATGGCCGTTCTCCGCTCGTATTAATCAATTGTGGCATCAGACTAAATGCCGAATATTAACGCGAAAATATTCTGGAGGGTGTATTAAAGCCTTGGGCATGCAAATATTTTGGCCGCAGAGCTTCGACATTCCAACAGGACTCAGCACCATCGCACTCATGTACAAACATCTACATGTACTCAGTGGACCATTTACATGAGGAGGCGAAAGTTCTTCCCTTGCGTCAGCATAATCAAATGCTTTCGTTGCAGTACCTGCTTGGGTTTTATCCTGAGAGTCATCCCAACCATCATATGGTGGATAAATCTCCCCCACCCAGGCGTGTCAGGAAGGACCTGCATGACCTAGAGAGGGAGGTTCAACGCTACAAGAGAGAACCTCTAGATCAAGAAGCCTATAAGGCAGGTCTGAGTGACATTCATACCGATGCAGTCGCGGATGTTATTAGCAGTTATAAAATGAATGCCGTCCTCGGAGTGCGACCCCCCCTTCCATTGCAGTTGAAGAACGTCAGCTGCCTAGACAAACCAGGGTAGTTTTGGTGCAATTACGTTCAGGATGGTGTAGTCGTCTCAATTCGTATTGGCCACGAATTGATGAAGATGTGCGTGATGCCTGCCCGGCGTGTGATACAGGCCCGCACAATACGCTGCACCTCTTTAATTGCACAGTCAAACCTACCCAACTCACTGCAGAAGATCTCTGGCTACAACCCATTAAAGTAGCCGAATTTTTAGACCTGGAGCTGGAACCAGATTAGCAGAACGCAAACGCTTGCATGTACTACTGCTACAACAACAACCATCGCACTCAGCACGCGCCACCTAAGAATGGTTACAAAATTAGGCTCCTCGCTTCATTTCCAGCACACATTGGCCATCAAAATCTCCTGATACTAATCCGTTGGGCTATTGTGTCTGGGGTATTTTGGAAAGTAAGGTTGGCACTAAAAAATACCAAAGTGTCGATCAGCTCAAGAAAGGGCTTCGCCGGGAATGGGCCAAAATACCGCAGAGCAACAGGGGGCAGCGTGTGACGGCTTTATTGGCCGTTTGAAGGCCATAATTCTTGCCAATGGTGGCCAAATCGAACAAATCTAAACTTATCCTAAAATTTGATGCTATTCCCGACAATTTTCATTCAATAAAATTAAAAAAAGAAAATGTAAAAATTATGGCGTTTGACTTTGTTGCAGTTTTTTTTATCTTACCCTGTACTAAATCCCTCTAAAATATCTTGCTTCCTTTCTAGGTTGGGAAACACTGCAAAAAGAATTTATAACCCTCATGGAAAAGGCAAAGAAATCGCCAGATCATGATGATATTTTCGATAATCTCAAAGCTGCCGTTGTCGATGAGTCGATACGTCGTCATTCATGGGAAGACAAGGCCATAGATATGTTACGCGTAATCCAATTAAATACTCTGGAAGATCGTTTTGTACACGACAAAAGCGAATGGGATCAGGCGGTGAAGTTTTTAGAGACCTCAGTCAAGGCGAAATTGGCTCAAACCGAAGAGACCCTCAGTGAAATGTTTGGACCTGGACAATTTACAAGAATCACTCACTGGAAATCACTGACAGAAGATCAAAATAAAAGACGTTATGTTAAAAATGAATTGGATAAAATACTTAAAAATGATGATGTAAGTTTTGGATTCTAAGAGAGAGAGAGAGAGAGAGAGAGAGAGAGAGAGTTTTAAGTTATTTAATTTGCTTGCAATTTTAGAAACATATGCCCACATTGTCGTACGACGAACTGACCACGGTACGCAAAAACCTGCAAAGAGAAAATATTGAAGTAGATACGGATTATATCAGACAAACCTGGTTCCCAGTTTACAGAAGGTAAACAAATAAGAATTAAGTTCGATTTAAATTAAATTCCATAGCATAAACGTCGAAAAATTCTCATAAAGGAGATTAACCCGGGAAAAAGCTTTAACATAAATATACCATAAAAGTCCTTGAGAAAAAATATTCCTAAAAATCAGAGATTCGAAGAGAAACTTCTAAAAAAAGGTGTTTGGGCGAAGTTTAAAGATTTCAGGTATCGCAAAAACATTCCTGATTTAAAAGTCCTAGAACAATATTTATACCCTACAACACTATGTGTTGGGGGTATTATAAGTTTGATTGGGCCAAAAATTATGTAACACCTCGAAATATTGATTTCCCACATAGGAAAGTATATATGGATCTTCCTATCTCGCCGAGTTGAGTCGATCTAGCTATGTATGTCCGTCCGTCCGTCTGTCCGTCTGTTTATGTTAATTTGTAATCACTCTACAGGTTGCAATTATGGCCCGATCTTCACGAAATTTAGAATGGAGGTTAGGGTCAGAATAGAACCCTATATCTTTTGGAGATGATCGCATAATATTTAGGGGTCGAAATGGACCAAAAACTGAAAAAATGTCGGATTTTGCAGTAGCTATACAGGTTGCAATTAAAGACCAATCGACGCGGAACTTCGCTTGTAGCTAGAGTTTAGGACGGGGAAGAAGCCTACCAATTTGGGTGGTCATCGGATAATATTTAGCGGGTAAAATAGACCATATCTTTTGTGTTGAAAAAATGCAAAATTTTTCATTAAACCGCGAATATTTTAAATCCCGGCGAAGAAAAACGTCTAAAAAAATGCATAAAAATATCTCTCTAAAGATGAAAATATTGATTTTGTAAAATTTTCTCATATTTTTTCCATTTTGTCATATTTTTTGCATATTTTCATTTTGAATTAAACATTTGGTAATATTTCTACAGCTAACAATACTAAGTAGTTAGGATATCAGGATATCATATACAGATCGCATTTATGGCCCGATGCTTACGAAATTTTGCATGGGGATAAGATGAGGGTCAGAATAGAAGCCTACTCTTTTTGGAGATGATCGCCATATATTTAGGGGTTGAAATGGACCAAAAAACTGCAAAATTGTCGGCAGGTCGTAATTATACCCCGATCCTCACGCACAATTGAATTGGGGTTACCGCACATTGCCAAAGCCAAGCAGTTTCGGATGGCCATCCAAAAATATTTAATGTGTGAAATAGTTTGCCAACTTTTCTAGACAAAATACGAAAATGTCCATTTCAGTGACTTTTTGGAGAATTCACAAATACAGGAAAGATGCACTTCTGACTATTTCGTTGAAGAATATAGTCAAATGTCTGTATCTCATATAGATGCGTTTCAGTCAAAAACCAATAATAAATGTTAATATTTTGCCACTTATGAGAGATTATAGGTCTTTGGGAAATATTGGTTCCAGATCTAGGAAGACCATTTACGTGCAACATCTTTCAATAAATTGGAAATGAGCAAATTCGTTTAAGTTGCTATTATTCGAAAATTAGAGAACGAAACCTGATGGTTTTCTTTAATTGTTTGTCACAATTTCTTGTGGAATTCTGTCGAGTATTTCGCCTATATAAACTGTATGGTTTATTATAGTGTTGTAGGGTATTCAACGGTCGGCCCCGCTCGACTGTAGCCTTTGCTTACTTGTTTTAAATCCAAAATGTTCTTTCCGATAATTCTCATAAATTCTACATTTTTCGATTTTCTAGATCTTAACTAGTAGAAAAACAGCTTTTTATACCCTCCACCATTCGGAAGGAACTTGAAAATTAAAAAAAAAATCCATAGAAAAATACCACAAAAATGAAAACCTATATATAGGAGGGCTATACGAAGACGTGGGGCTGGATAAGTAATTTTTTGTCATAAGCTGTAGTAACGATTCCGAACTTCAAATACATAATTCGGAACAATTCCGGCGAATAATGTCGCTAATATCTTCAAAATACCAAATAAAGGGAGGTACCCTAGTATGGGGGCTATACTAAGGCGTGGACCTGCATAGACAATTTTCCGTCATAGGTTGTAGTACCCATTACGAACTTCAAATACGAAATTTGACGCAATTCTGGTGAATAATGTCGCCGAAACCCTGGAAATAGCGAATATCTTGGGCTAGCGTTATATGGGTGCTACACTAAAACGTAGACCTATATAGGTAATTCTCTTCACGGGGTGAAGTTCTCAGAAAAAACTCCTTGTGCGGATTTTCAGACAATTTCATTGAAAAATGTGGCTGAAATTAGCAAAATACCGAATATTGGGAGGTACCGTTGTATGGGGCCTATACGATATCGTGGACCTATATAGACAGTTCTCTTTTAGGGGTAAAGTACTCAGAAAGAACTCCTTGTGTGGATTTACAGACAATTCCATTGAAACATGTCACTTAAATCATGAAAATACCGAATATCGGGGGTACCGTTGTATGGGGGCTATACCTAAACAATTCTCTCCCAGAGGGTAAACTATACGAAGTTAACTCTTTGTGTTCATTTTCAGACAATTCCATTGAAAAATGTGACTTAAATCATCAAAATACCGAATATCGTGAGGTACAATTATATGGGGATATACGATATCGTGGACCTATGTAGACAATTCTTTTTCAGGGTGTAAAGTAGTCACGAAGAACTCCTTGTGTGAATTTTCAGACAATTCCATTGAAAAATGTGACTTAAATCATTAGAATACCGTAAATCGGGCGCTATACGATATCGTGGATCTATATAGACGGTTCTCATTCAGATGGTAAAGTACTCACAGAGAACTCCTTATGTAGAATTTCGAACAATTCCATAAAAAATGTCTCTAAACCCATCAAAATGCCGAATATCAGGGTACCATTATATGGGGCCTATACGATATCGTGGACCGATATAGCGCATCTTCGAACTTAACCTGCCTGGAGACAGAAGACAAATCGGTGCAAAATTTTAGCTTCATATCTTTAATCGTTTTGACTCTAGTGTGATTACAAGAGGCGAACAGACGGACATGGCTAAATCATCTTCGATGAGTTACAAACGGAATGACGAACTTAATATACCCTCCATACTATGTATCGAGTAGTGTATAAAAACAATATTTTTCAATCCGAAATTTTTGACGAAATTTTAAAATTTTTTATTTGCTTTTTTATTGTTTTGCGCCATTGCAGACACTTCCTCAAACAAGCCCTGCAAAGAGCAAATGACTGCCGTAAGGCCTATTATTTGTATAGCCAACAAGGAACAGATTGTGATGTAAGTTTTTTTTCTATATTCCATTCCTAGACTTCCAAATCAAATATTTCTTTTTTTTATTAAAAAAAAAAAAAAAAACAGATAAATTGCAATGATGTTGTATTATTCTGGCGTATTCAACAAGTTATACGTGTTACCGCCAATGCCCTGCGTCAACAGGTGATAAATCGTGAGGCTCGGAGACTGGACAAAGAAATCAAAGAAGTTCTCGATGAGTTCAGTGAAGATGAAGAGAAGAAGGCCCATTTGTTGACGGGCAAGCGTGTTACTCTAGCCGAAGAATTAAGTAAGTTAGAATAAAATTCTTCAAAATGCAATTGAAGTTAATGTATATTTTCTCTCGCCCCCCTTTTTTTAGTAAAAGTAAGACAAATTCAAGAAAAGTTGGAGGAATTCATAAATTCATTGAATCAAGAAAAGTAAACAAAAAAAGAAACAACCACAACAACAACAACAAATCAAAGATATTTTCTTGTTTATCTTCTTTTTTTATATAATATGTAAGCCATTGAATATAGTATCTAGTCCCGGTCGTCATACAGCATAATTTCCTTTAAAATTATACGCTTCACAAGCCACCTAATTCTATTAATATTTATTTCCATTGGAGATTTTATTTTGTTTGTTTTTTTCTTTCTGCATTCATTCAATATATTTCTTATTTATAAGATATTCTGAATTCATTGGAATAAAGAAATCCTATTATTGTCCAATTTTGTGAAACAAATAAAATATTGAAAAAAATTGACAACATAAAATAAATGTTCTTTTTTTTAAAGTAGCGGAAGGAGTGGCCACCTGTAGTGCAATTCACTAACTCATTTTTGAATACGCTCCTCTATTTGGAACGATTTTGGCAATTTTCAAAAAAAATAAAACCCGATAAAAATTCTGTTAAAATTTTTAAAAGCCGAATATAGCCGTTATATTAGGATGTATACGACGACGTGGACCCGCATAGGCCACTTTTGTCATACGCTATTACAATATTTAAATGCGAAACAAAAATAATAGCAAAATACCGAATATCGGGAGGTGCCGTTATATGGGGCTATACGAAGACGTGGACCTGTGCGGACAATTTTCTTTCATAGGCTGTAGTATCCATTACGAACATAAAATACCAAATTTGAAACAATTGATTAATGTCGCTTAAATCACCAAAATACAGAATATAGGGAGGTACCGTTAAAGGGGGCTATATCAAAACGTGGACCTACACAGACAATTTTCTGTCATAGGCTGTATTATCCATTACTAACTTCAAATCCCAAATTTAAAACAATTCCGGTGAATAATCTCGCTTAATTACCAAAATACAGAAAATAGGGAGGTACATTATGTGGGGGCTATACCAAAACGTGGACCTAGGTGGCCCATTTTCAATACCAAAATTCCTGTAGACATAATATACATTTAAGTAAAATTTTGTCAACCTACTTCATTTCGTTCAGAAGCTAGAGTGATTTCCATAGACGGACGGACGTCGCTAAATAGACATAGAATTTTATGCTGATCAAGAATATATGTACTTTGTGGGGTCTAAAATGTATATTTCGAGCTGTTACATACGGAATGACTAACTTTATACACCCTCCATACTATGGTAGAGGGTATAAAAATAAGTTGAGATTAACTAAATTTGCATCTATTGGCATAACAAACGTCGAACATGGTGTATTAATTAATTAATTATTCTTAACTTACCAAAAATGTGTCTTATGAGTTTGACGGCATGTAGAAAATTGCTTGGATGTAAAGAAATATTCATTCAGAAAAATCATGTTGTTTGTTCGTTTTCAATATTGTTGAACTTTATTGAGAATTTGGTTGTAAAATGTACACTTATATTACCATAAACAACATGTCAACACTTGCTGCTAATTTTTCTAAATTTACCATGGACCAATATGTTAACTTTAAATTGATTTTAATGTTTTGTTTTTAATATAAAACATGTTTCCCGCCTGATTATTGACGTTTGACACAAATTAGTCGTTACCATTACCATGGTGTGATTGAGAATATCAGAGAAAGTAAATATGGCATCTCATTTTCTTAATGTATTTTATTTCAAACTGGCAATACTGCAATAATTAAAAGGGATAGGAATCCAGCACAGCGATTTTATTCTGCCCCACAATGATAATTTACCTTCACAAACATTGTTAACCACTTTTATTCCTTTTTTTGCAATTGATTTTTGAATACATTTTCCATTACCATGCATGGTGTAGTGGAAAAAAAACAATAAAGGGCAAATCTGGCAAGCCATTTTATAACATGTAAAATTTTTATCTGGCAATGCCGCGGCAATTGACAGTTGATAATAGAAGCCCAAATTTTGCGCGTTTATAAATAGTTTGTTGTTGAAAGTGTTGAAATGTTAAAGAATGGAGTGCAAGTAGAACTTAATCTATAGTCAATGTAAACTAAATGTTTCCGGATCATGGACCCGTTTGTTGTGAAAAAATGTATGTGTGTAAATGTGGTATGGGTAACAAAGAGTCGTTCGAATAGACGACATCCTATGTCTCTCAGCTTTTGTGTCGGATCAAGTGAACCTTTTCCATCTTCCTGATTGTGGATGCCTACATTTGGATATACATTGAACGGAGTGTACTCCAAATCAAAGAGGTAAGAAACATATTTATACTTTTGAGAAATTCAAAAAAAGTCTAATGTATTTTTATACCCTCAGGCCTATGGCTGGAGAGGGTATATATAGTTTGATACGGCCAAAACATGCCTCATTGAAATAACGGTTTTAGACCCTAGGTCTCTTTGGACCAAATCCGCTTTAGGACATTTGGAGTCGATCTACTGATGTCCATCCGTCCGTCCATCGTCTGTCTGTCTGGCAGATGCGCCCGATCGCCCGATAACTCTGGAAGGGAGTATCCGATTTGCTCCAAACTTGGTACATCGTAATATTATTATCAAACTTAGATCGAGTTCGGAGATGGACAATATCGGTCAACTCCTTCTGGTACCTCCAACAACATTGGCAAAGAAAATAATTTACTGCACAGAAAGAGAAAGGATAGTCCGATTTTGCTCGAACTTTGCAAATTCTAATATTTGCATCAGTGCTAAGTCAGGTGTGAAAATGGAAAATATCTGTTCACTCTATCAAGTACCTCCCCCAAAGGGTAAACAATTTGAATAATAACTCTTATAAAATGTGGTATAAAAGTCCGGTTGTCTTCAACTTGGAAACATCACAATATTTTTATTAACCCAAGGTTTGGTGTGAAAATGGAATTTATCGGTTCACTGCTTCTAGTATCTCCCCCACAAAAGGGGAAAAATTTTGAATATTCATGAAGCTCATAAAACACGAAACTAACATCCGATTCCATTCAGATTTGGCACATCTCAATATTTCCATCAACACAAGATCAATTAAAAGTATGGTAGAGATCGGACCATTCCTTCTGGTAATTCCCTCATAACGGCTTATGTTTTGAATAAGCAAAATGATCTTAAAATCCGAAATAAGCATCCGGTTCTCTTTAAATTACACTCATCGCAATATTTTTATTAACCCAAGGTCTGGTGTGAAGATGGTATATATCGGTCCGCTCCTTATGATTTTAAATGTCCATGAAGCTCATAAAACACGAAAATAACTTCCGATTCCATTCAGACTTAGCACATCTCATTATTTCCACCAACACAAAATCTGTTATAAAGATGGTGGAGATCGGGCCATTTCTTCTGGTAGGATTTTGAGAAACAAAACGCTGAAAGAAAGCGAAATACGAAATGGACAATATTGGCCCATTCCTTCGGAACCTACTCCATAGAGGGTCAACAATTTGAATAATCAAAACAGAAGTCAAAATATCAAAACAGAAGTCAAATAATCGAACATTGGCATTGTATTATCCATGGATATCTGTTGCGAAAGATAAGAAACATAGTATTGAGGTTGTTATAAAAGCTATATCCTTCCAATAAGAGTTATTAATGTTAATGGAATCTATGTCGTTGCACTCTCAAAGTATGTGGACAATTGTCTCCCCTTGAGTCAGGAACCAGTTCTATGATTTAAAATATTTTGCCAATTTAAGATTCATACTTACCCCACAACCAAACCAAACTCAAATAAAACAAAGTACAATTTTTTTCAAATGTTATTTTTACAAATAACAAAACTTTTATGATTTTTTTTATTGAAAGGCACTTTCTGGTTTTTTATGTTTGTTGTTTTTGACACATTGGTTTTTTATGTAAATTTACATTTTTTGTCTTCTAAATATATAGCCTAGGTCCATATTATCTAAATTAATTTCAAAATTCTTTTGTTTTTTTTTCTTTTTGTTTTGCAAAAAAATATGTATTCAAATTTTTTGTTGTTTTAATTTACAAAAATATGGATAGACTATTTTTAAATTAAAATTTTTATAATTACATTTATTATATTTTAAAACTAATTGCTGATCAACAGCTGATCTAAAATATAACAGTGTTTTTAATATATATTTTATTCTGTTTTTTTTTTATAGTTTATCAAAAAAGAAGAAAGAGGGATCAAATATGTGATTGTTGTATGTAAAAGGACATTGATTATGGGAGATGCAGAAGGTCTTTGTGTGCTGGTGGAAGAATAAGTCGGAATTTTTTGCAATAACAATAGCGATTTATATCGTCCAAGTAAAAAATAAAACGTTCCATGGAAGACTTTTGAAGGACATTCCTGGTTTAAGAAGATGCTTGGCATAAGGTTGAAATGGTAATATCTTGACATACATAAAAATGTCCGACAAATAAACCTATCATATTTTTTAGGTATGACTCAATCAACAAGGGATTTAAAATTCCCACCGTAGCCAATTCATTTATCCAAAATTCACCACCAAAATATCAGAAAGGACTGGTGAAAATGTTCATGGAAGTAAATTCAATTAAGGACTGTTAGTACAAGATTCGAACAAATCGTCACCAGACCTCAAAATATCAGAAATATCCGTAAAAATATGATGGACACACATCGTGCAGGTATTTGGTGTAGTTGTTGTTACGTTGACAAGAGATGGTAGTGATGTTATTTATGAAACTTTATCAAGGAATGGTATCTTAATATTAGGAGGCGTATCTTGGAGAAATCTAAAGAGCTATTAAGAACCATTTATTTAAGAAAAGTATTCATAGGAAACATTTCTTCCCAAAAATTGATTTAAAAGTCTTTCATCTTTAAAGATTATTTTCAAATTAATATGGTTTGGAAGACCCTTCCCCATGCCAAGCCTGCTTTTATAGTTTTTTTCCTAAATTTGGTTTTTGAAAGCATTTTTTTCATTTGGAAGAAATGAACCCTTTAAAAAGAAAGGAATCTTTCAAGGATTTTCCCTTAGAGAAATCGTTAGGAAAATGATTATGAATGAGCATTTTTAAGGACTATTTTCAAAACCAAAAAGAAAAAGTCAAAAGTCAAGCGGGACCGACTATATGATACCCTACAACTTAGTAGAGCTCCCGTAACAAAAAAATTTCTTTCAAGTAGATTATACCACCTATCAATTTTTAGCTTTAGAGCAGTCATAGTTCGCTATAGAGTGCATGGTATCACTTGGAGAAAGATTATATTGAGGATATATATGTGACCTATATCCAAATCTGAACCGATCTTTATAAATTTTGGCAGAGGTATTTTCTAGCAGTATCTGATGTCCGGTACTAAAGATCATTCTTCTGGAGTACATGTTACGCATGTGAGGGACTTAAACCCCAAAACGGATGAAACATATATATGAAAGCTATAGCTATATCTGAACCGATTTTCAAATTTGAAGTACTGGTTTATAGGATGAATTCAGCCGTAATTGCCAAAATTCAGTCCATTTGGGTTGATATTAGCCATTTGGTGCACAATAAACCTGAGAAATTTAATGTACTTGCTTCTAGACTGAATTCGGCCGGATATGCCAAAATTCAGGTCATTTTGACTGATATTGGCAATTTGGTGCACAATTAACCCGAAATCGGTTGAGGATATATATGGAAGCTATATCCTAAACATCACCGATCTCGATAACATTTGACAGATGTATTCGCATGAAACATGTATATGGGAGCTATAGCTATATCTGAACCGATTTTCTCCAAATTTGATGTACCTGCTTGAATTTGGTGGGGTGTACCAAAATACGGGTCAATTGGACTTTTATTGGCCATTTGGTGCACAATTAACCCGAAATCGGTTGAAGATATATATGGAAGCTATATCTAAATCTAATCCGATTATCACCTAATTCAATAGGGTTCGTTCTTGGGCCAAACAAAAATATTGTTTGCAAAATTCCATCTCAATCGGATAATATATGCGACCTGCATTTTGTCCACAAGAATACATGGACTGACGGACGGAAGATCCTCAAAAGTGACTATGGGTCTATCACACTTCCTTTTCCATGTTACAAAGAAATGCACAAAGACAGGAGGAAGGATGCAGCTTAGTATAATTTCGAGAAATCTGGAAGATATTGACAATTCCTTTTTAAATACATAAAAGTCCAACCGCCTTTTTTAAGTATAAACCAGGTGGAACGTATTTTTCAAAACTATTTCATGTTGCGGCAATTCAAAACACATGGCACACAAAGACCACTCCCTTCCCTTGGTTGTGGTGGGGAAAAAATTTGGTTTAGTCAATTTAAGTTAACAAAAAATTTAATTAATTTCAGAGAAAAAAAAAATAACAACAAATTGCAATTAACCAAAGAAACGAAACATGTCTCAAGGCCATATTAAATAAAGCACTTAGCCTTGGACTTTCAAAATTATCGGACCATATTTGTCTTAGTTTCATTGCAACTACAATTTGTGGGTTTTTGTTTTATTATTGTTGTTGTATTTTTAAATTCATTTATACTATTACAAACTTTTATATTAGCTTTAGTTTGAGTTTATTTGAGGTTATACAAAAACAAAAAAAGAAAGATTAATCATTTTAGGTTATGTCGAGAAAAGGGGGACAATGTGGACCTTGTGAGTATAAACAAAAGTCCTCAAAGGGCTTTTGTGTGATCAAAAGTGTACAAATTTATCCCTGTTTTTCACACTAACCTAAAAAATTGTAAACTAAAATAATATGTTATATAAAACCTGTATCAGTCTCATTTGATCACCCTTTTCTTTTTTTCTTTTATTTCTCTTTTCTTCTTCTCTAAAACAAATTATGATGAGGCAAGTTTCTATCTATGTATTTAAAAGCTTAAAGTTTACACAAAATTATTTAAAAAAAACTCAATGCAACAGCAGTTATATTTGGGTTCTGACTGATAATTAATTATTTATATATATAAAAAAATATTAATAGGTAATAATAAAAATTAAAAATAATAAAAAAATAAAAATGAAAACATTAGTTTTTTTAACAAGAAAATGCAAGAAACTTTCCTAATAATAAACACCAAGGAAACAAACAAACAAGCAAGTTACAGAAAAAAAGGAGTTTTTAAAACCCATTTTTCCAATTCCAACTTAAAAACTACAACCTTTCAAAATTCCTTGCATTGCTCTAGGAACATCGAATGGATTTGTTGTTAATTCACTTGGTTTCGTTTTGTTTTTTTCTTACTCTTCTTCTTGTTAGATTTCCAATATATTTTTTTGTTTTTAAGGAAGTTTTAATTTCTTGGGATTTTCCTTTTACTTTTGATTGATTGTCCACAATTTTCCCTAGGGCCTGGAAGACGGTTTATCATTTTTTTTGTTTTTGTTTCATTCTAGGTATATTCGTTGAAAGGAAGGCGCGTTATTTCTGTTTTGTTATTACTTTTGTACTTCCTTTATTTTGTCGGCTTGAAATATACAATGGATCAATTTGCGGAGGACGAAGCTTAATGTTGATGTATTTTTGTGTACGTATGTATGTGTGTGTGTTTGATGGTTTTAATGAGAACTAAAAACGTAGCGGGATCTTTAAGCTTGAGGCAGTGCATTCTTCTTTTCGTTACGTTTGTTCTCCCATCTGGCCACCGCTGGCAATGGATAGCAGAGGAAGGCCGAAAGCAAGATCAGACCACCAGCGAAATAGAAACAGGCATTGTAATCCTTAGTTGCATCGTATAAGGCACCTGGACGAAAAGAGAAGGTAAGAAAAAACAATAACAACATTAAAAATTTATTATTTGATTTAGTTTTCTAGTAGATTTTTTAAATTTAAATGTAAAATTCCATTATCTGACAATGTTTGTCCTGTTAACATTTGACCTGTTCCCTCACCTCACCGCGATAGTCGTTTTTTCGTTTATAAATGTAGTTGTTGTTCTGTTTCAGACCCGCAGAATTTCAAATTAACCGATTTTACCTTTATGATATTGAAAAAAAATGTAAAACGAGTATATTATTGCAAGCTCTGTAACAAAACTATCGTTGACTCTCTGAGAGAGCTACAAAGAGAATGCATATCGATAGTACATTATCGAACATCAACAGGTTTATGTAGATCGAAGATCATTTACAAGGTTTCTAAAGATCGAAAATCGTTCAAGAGTCCAATCAGACGAGAAAAACAGTTATATTATGGATAAAATACCGAAAAATGAAGCCTTCCATTGATAGCAGATTCATTTGACACATCTTATACAGATAAATACATGATAATATAATATATGTAGGCTCATCAACACGGCTGGTGATACAATGAACTATCTAATCAGTTTTGAGTTCATATATTTGAATGAAAAATTTCTCGAAATAGTAAAAATTTTTGAAAAACGTATATCATTACACAGCCTCGATAAGAAACTCTTCTAATTCTGATTCTAAAGTTTTTTTAATACCCTCCACCATAGTATGTAGGGTATATTAAGTTTGACATTCCGTTTGTAACACCTCGAAATATACATTTTAGACCCCCACAATTATATATATACTCGATCAGCATAAAATTCTATATCGTTCGACTGCTCGTCTGTGGAAATCACTTTAGCTTCCGAACGAAATGAAGTAGGTTGATAAAATTTTACTCAAAGGTGTATTTTGTCTGCAGGACTTTTGATATTGAAAATGGGCCATATAGGTCCACATCTTCTTATAGCCCCCATATAACGGTACCTCCCGCTATTCGGTATTTTGATGATTTTAGCGATATTATTCACCGGAATTGTTTCAAACTTGGTATTTAAAGTTCGTAATAGATACTACAGCCTAAGACAGAAAATTGTCTGTGCAGGTCCACGTTTTGGTATAGCCCTTATATAATGGTACCTTCCGATATTCGGTATTTTGATGAATCTAGCGACAATATTCATCGGGATTGTTTCAAATTTGGTATTTGAAGTTCATATTGGATACCACAGCCAGTGCAGAAAATTGTCTGTGCAGGTCCACGTTTTGATATAGCCCCAATATAACGGTACCTCCCGATATTCGGTATTTTTATGTTTTAGAGACATTATTCACTGATTTTTTTTTAAGTTTCGCATTTGAATATTGTGAAGGTCCACGTCGCGAATAGATCCTAATATAACGGCTACATTCGGTATTTTTAGGATTTAAATAGAATTTTTAACGGATTTTATTTTTTGAAAATTGTCAAAATCGTTCCAAATGGTGGGGGGTATTCAATTTCGGCCCGGTGTTCTTCTAAAATAAGATTGATACAAAAACTCACCTGCAATGGGACTACCAATTGTCGCGGCAATACCCTGGAACAACATAAGGAAACCAAAGGCATTCGTCAACTTTTCCAAGCCAATCATTTCGACAGCAATCAACGATCTCAGGGCCGAGAAACAGGCAATACAGAAACCGAACAGTACAGCAAATGTCCATTGGGTACCGGTGCTGATGTAGAAACCACTGCAAATTGTGGCAATACCACCGGCTGTGATGGCAATGTTGTTCAACCACAATGGCTTGACGCTGGGGAAGGAGGTGATCGAACCACAGAATATCCTAGCAATTGTATTGAAATAACCAATGGCAGAGACCACCTGCAGGGCAGCGCTATCGTCCATGCCACCTTCAACGGCACGTGGCTTCAGGAAAGTGAAGGGTACAAAGAAACCCATCATGGTGAGGAAACCGGAAAAGGCCAAACACATGAAGGAGGGTGACTTCAGAAGGGTTACATCCAACATCGTGGAGAGGGTACGGCGCACAGCTTCGGGACACAAATGGCAACCACTTTCACGTTCTTCCAACTCATCTTGTTTGGTGGGCAGGCGGGTGACAGACATGTGATAGGCCAGCGAGGATTGGGATTGATATTGTGGGATGCGGGTAAGGGAACCGGTGAAGAAGGCATCATCACGATACATGGGCCGGGTGACGGTGTTGTTGACACCATCCTGGGAACCAACATTGCTGCGGCTACCAATGTTTTGCGGACGTCTGCCGGAGACGGTGTGGCGACGGGCCTGGACAATTGTAGGCTTGGCTTCGGTAACCAACAAGTTCTCATTTTCGGTTTCTTCTTCATTTTCACCCACGGTGGTGAGTTCCTTGTGGAGATTAAAGGTCATTTGTTGTTGTTCGCCGTTGGGTGTTGTGGGTTGAGATTTGCGTAGATTTTTCATTTCGGTACCCTTGCCTGAGGCTCCCGAAAGGCGGCGTTCCAAGTTGGCACCCTTGAAGACCTCAGCAGCTGTGGGATAGTGATGTTTGGGTGAGGCACCCATGTAGGTATTGTGGGCGGAGTTTGGCATGGAGTAGGCAAAACGTCCTTCGGGCAAAGGTTTGCTAAAGGCATTGGTGGCGAATTGAGGTTTGGGCGCCACCGAGTTGCCATGGCCATTGGCCTTATTCTTGTTGTCCTCTTCGACACCATTCTCGGTGACAGCCAAGGTCAGAGGTTGGATGGGTCTAAAGGCAATGCCAATGATGGCACAGGCCACAATAATCAAACCTTGGACCTGTAACATGGTTCTCCAGTCATAGTTCTTCAACAGGTAATTCGAGAGGGGTGCAAAGACAAAGGTACCCACACCGGAGCCGCACATGGCAATACCGGTGGCCAGGGCTCTCCACTTTTCAAAATAGAAACCAATGATGACCACAGCCGGGATATAGACCATACAAAAGCCAATGCCACCCAACACACCGTAGACCACCATCAACAGTTCAATGCTGTTCACATAACTGGAGGCCACAAAGCAGACAGCTGCAAATAGAGCACCAGCAATAGTTACCGGCCGGAAACCAAAACGATTGGCCATGGCACTTACAAATGGACCAGCCATCAAATAGCAACCACTCAGCAGCGAGGACACAAAGGATACATAGAACTTGCTGACATTGAATTCCTTGATCAAATCATCCTGAATGAAGCCGGAACAGAAGACAATACCATCAATGATAGTGCAGCAGAGGAAAGATGCCACCATGACCACCCAGGCCCAGCCACTGTCGGGTGGCACGACCACAGCTGCCGTTGCATTGTCGACATCTTCGAATTGTTCCTTGCCATCCTGCGACTGATGATTGTTGGTGGTCTTTGCTACCAAACTGTCGGAGGCTGCTGGTTCATCGGCAACCGTAACATTCCGATGATTCTGTTGTGTTGCGGCCATTTAATCTGCAAGTAAATGTTTTGTTTGGGAAAGAAAATGGGTGGGTTATTTAAAAATCAGAAACATCGCAAAGAATATTTTTTTTTCAAAAATGGAAGATAAAGGCGATATATAATAGCTATAGAATATATATATGAATGTAGGAGATTAAAATATGTATTTGTTTTTGCACAAGCGAACAAAAGAAGGGGGTGTGTGTCCAAACATGTGATGTCTTGTGGTTGTATTTGTTATTGTTTTTTTCCCTCTTTGATAATTATGATGATCCCCCCTATCTTAATTATCATGATCCTATATTGATATGTCACGACTTGTCGGAATCTGTTTGTCAACGCCATTAACGTTGTTCATAGATGTGTGTGTGTGTGTGTGTACATATGTTCTAGTAGTGGTGGATATTTTTAACCATAAGGTGAAAAGTTTTTTGTTCGGGGCCATTGTTAAAACGTCGTTCTTCTGTATTTTTTGTTGCCTTGATGTTCTTGTGAATTATGGCCTGCAGCCAAATGAACTCGGAATGGAGTGGACAATGCCTTGGAATGACGCACGTGATCATTGCGTTGTTCACTTATTTTGAAGGATAGTCAATTGTTTTCCTCGCCGTTTTTAAATTACTTTTTAAAATATGTCATTTCATACAAAAATGATGTGAACTGTAAATAAAGGTCCGCCACCCATCCCAGAGTAATGAGGGGCCATTGAACATACCGCCCTGAGTCATCAAACGAACTACACAATACAAGATCGGAAAGGAACAACAATTTAAAGGCATACGTATGTATATATTTTTTGGTCTCATTGGTTACTCAGTCCTATTGGGCGCCACATTCCAAAAAAAATCTACTTTTGATTTAACTCTTTCCAATGTTTTTCTCTTGGTAAAAATATCAAATCATTTGGAGACAGGCACATCAGAAATTACTTTTTTATCTCGTAGGCAACCCAGTCCAATTGGGCGCCACATTCCAAACAAAACGGATTTTCATAAATTCTTTTCCAATTTCTTTATTTTTTATTAAAATATCAGACCATTTGGGGATAGGCAAACTAGAATCCCTCCAGACAAGTTGTTGTAATTGACAAGTGAGAGAAGAAACCATGAACTTTCAGAATTATTTTGCAATGGCAACACTACACAGGATGAGATGAAAAAACTGCAACCAACTTCAGACTGCTGTAATTTCTAAGCAACGCATCCGACAGCTGTTAAAATTATTGCAGTGACAGCTCATTTTATTGTTTACAAGCGCGTCCAAGGCAATTTGCTCAGAATTTTTCAGAAAAAAAGTTGTTCGTGATGGAATTCAAGCGTGATAGAGTGATTTCTTTATATTTGGCTGGAAAACCACAAATGGCTATCGTTAGAGCACTCCAGCATTTAAATGTGAATAAATCTTTTTTGTCTCGTACTATCGCTCGTTGCCGTGACACTGGTAGCGGTAGCGTAGCCCGACGTCAAGGAAGTGGAGGGAAGAAAACAGCAACATCAGCAGAAATGGTTGGAAAAGTAAAGAAGCGACATGATCGAAACACGCCTCGCAGTGACCGAAAAATGGCTCGTTAGCTGAACATATCACAATATTCGATTCGGCAAATATTGAAAAATGAGCTCGGGGTAAAGCCATTGAAATTCCAAAAAGTGCAAGAACGTACACCGCAACAGAGAGTAAATAGATTCAAATGAGTTAAAGAGTTATTTCGCTTGGCCGAAAGTGGTGAACTGCCGAATTTGGTTCGTTGTCCAGCAGTTTGTAAACAAACAAAATGATCGTGTTTACCTGCCAAAGAGGTCAGGTGAAGATGTGCACCTTCGGTTTGCAACTAGAACTCAAGCACCATCGCACTCAGCACGCGCTACCCAAGAATGGTTCAAAATGAGGTTCCTTGCTTCATTTTCAGCGCACAATGGCCACCAAAATTTCCGGATGCAAATCCGTTGGTCCATTGTGTCCGGAGTATTTTGGAAAGCAAGGTTGGCACTAAAACATACCAAAGTGACGATCACCTCAAGCAAGCGCATCGCCGGGAATGGGCCAAAATACCACAGAGCAACATTCCGTCAGCGTGTGACGGTTTCATTGGCCGTTTGAAGGCCATAATTCGTGTCAAAGGTGACCAATTCGAACAAATCTAAACTTATTCTAAAATTTTTTGCTGCCATTCAATGAAATTTAAAAAAAATGTAAAAATTATGGCATTTGACTTTGTTGCAGTTTTTTTATCTCACCCTGTATAGAGTACATTGTCGCGAATTAGACTAGGCCTAAAGAATACGTTTTCATTGGGACATCTTAACCCTGTTTGGTGGAGGTACCAGAAGAAATGGTCCGATCTCTTCCGTCTTTATAACAGATCTTGCGGTGATAGAAATATTGAGATGAGTCAAGTCTGAATGGAATCGGATGTTAATTTCGTGTTTTATGAGCTTCATGAATATTAAAAATTTTGCCCTTTGTGGGGTAAGTACAAGAAGGATTAGACCGATATATTCCATCTTCACACCAGACCTCGGATTACTAAAAATTCCTTCAAATTTTGTATATTCCAATACTTTAATCTGTATTATGTTCATCAATCAAACAATCATCATGGTAAAGGTAAAGGCATTAAATTTAATTAAATTTCATGATGGCAATGCTGTAATTAAACATCGATCAAGAGTTAGAAATGGCAACATTCACATAAGGAAATCGAATGCATTTATTTGAACATCTCCAAAAAAGGTTTAACCTTCTTAAATCCTAAGATGGCAAAGTTCTCGCCGTGGTCTACGATAGACAGATGAACAGTTAGAGGTTTTTAATAATAATAATTAATAATTAATAATAATAATAATAATAATAATAATAATAATACTAATAATAATAATAATACTAATAATAATAATAATACTAATAATATTAGTTAATAATAATAATAATTAATAATTAATAATAATAATTAATAATAATAATAATAATAATAATAATAATATAATAATAATAATAATAATAATAATAATAATAATAATAATAATAATAATAATAATAATAAATAATAATATAATATAACAATAATAATAATAATAATAATACAATAATAATATAATAATAATAATAATAATAATAATAATAATAATAATAATAATATAATAATAATAATAATAATAATAATAATAATAATAATAATAATAATAATAATAATAATAATAATAATATAATAATAATAATAATAATATAATAATAATAATAATAATAATAATAATAATAATAATAATAATAATAATAATAATAATAATAATAATAATAATAATAATAATAATAATAATAATAATAATAATAATAATATAATAATAATAATAATAATATAATAATAATAATATAATAATAATAATAATAATAATAATAATAATAATAATAATAATAATAATAATAATAATAATAATAATAATAATAATAACAATAATATAATAATAATAATAATAATAATAATAATAATAATAATAATAATAATAATAATAATAATAATAATAATAATAATAATAATAATAATAATAATAATAATATTAGTTAATAATAATAATAAAATAATAATAATAATTAATATAATAATAATAATATAATAATAATAATAATAATAATAATAATAATAATAATAATAATAATAATAATAATAATAACAATAATAATAATAATAATAATAATAATAATAATAATAATAATAATAATAATAATAATAATAATAATAATAATAGGAATAATAATAATAATAAAATAATAATAACATTTAACCTTAAAAACTATAAATGGTTGAGGTCTAGATAAAAGTCTTCCTAAGGCCTACTACACCTGAATGAAAAAAAAAATAATACATCTCCATACAGAGGTATTCCAAATGGATTTTGTAGATTTCCTAAGGGTACTTGATTATCTTGGATCCCTCTTAAATTAGAAAAGTTTCTATACATCTTAATTGTAAATAACTCATCTGTAAATAGAAGATATGTTCGGGATTTTCTAAGAGACCTGAATGAGGTGCTCTAGAATAAGGAGGCAATCTAGGGATTTTGTTCGGGGTTTACGTTTTCCTAGATCTTGAGGAAGAAATGTAAATCAGTTCCCTAGAGGTCTACTAAGAGCAAATAGCTACCAAATGACTTTGACTTGTTTTAATGGTGTTTGAACCATGCCTCAAATATACGAACATGTCTTACCAAAGGCCATTGACATAAGAATTTCTCCTCTCTTTGTTTGGCGTTCCACCAAAGTTCGTTTATTTCATATAAACAATTGTCAATAGCATTTCATAACAGATAAATCACAGAGATATGGACTTGGTCTTTATGTGGCCTCTAACTATTTCGTTAACTTGACGGCCAATACCCTGTCAATACCTTGCGACCACTTGCAAAAACAAAAAAAATAAAAAAAAGAGAATTAAACGCGTCGCAATTATTTCGCATTCCTTTTCTTTGTTTTGACATTGTTTTGTTTTGTTCTGTTGGCGAAATCGTTTTAAGCCGTAACCAGCGAAACCATTTCCAATAGACGCCACCGGCAATGGATGGGGCTAGCAAAAAAAAAACAAGAGACAATCCCCCTTTTACCAAATTCCATGTGTCTTAACAGATATATGTATATGTATGTACAAATGTATGTTTGTGTGTATTTTGGCCATACATTAGAAGTTGTCTGTCACGTCCACCACCGCCACCGCCACCACATAACCTATTCTTCTTTTGTTTTATTTTTAGCATATTTTTTGTGTGTGTGTCCCTACTACTCAGTTCTATTGTCATTTGGCTGTTGCGTCTGTCCGTTGGTGTCGATTTGACGAATGTAAAGAAGCCCTACATTGGCCATTTACGAGTTTGCATAAATTGTTTGTGTGTATGTAATGTTATAACGATTGTTGTTGTTATCGTTGTTTTATCATCATCAGCGGCGTTGTCATCGTATGTTTTGAATTATTCCTTGATTTGTGGCGTTGTACGGCTGGCCATTCATTACCAGTGGCAGTTTGGCAT